AATAAATTTGGGATTAAATAGTTTAATCAATAAAAGTGGAAAATTAATATTATCTATCGAGTAGTTGATGGATTGATGTCAAAAAAAAAAGTTGATGGATTTTTTAGCTAAAAGTTGTGAGTTTAGGTTTTTTTTGGGATTTTTTTTCTATAATTCATTCGAGTAAAAGAATTTCTATTTTATATTTCTAATTATGACACATGTTAAAAACTTTATTTGTGGCTCCTGTTTTATTATATATAAAATAAGGATATCGATTTGATACTACTTTTGGTATAAGAATCGCAGAATTACAGAGTGAACTCATTTTATAAAGTACTATTTTTGTCTATATGTTTTTTTTGACATCTTGTCTTTGTGTGTTACAAGTTGTGAGATGTACGTTGTAATGTTTTCATATCGTCACAAGACTCACAACCAAATCACATGGCATGCCTTTCCATCATCATTATTATTATAATTATTTTCGCTATCATTATTCATATTTTTGTAAAATAACGTGTTTCCATTATACGTTTCCTTCGTTGTTGATATTATGTATATTACCAAAAATATGAAAAAAGGTCACATGCATTACTATTATAGAACATGACATAAAATAAGGATCATTAGAGTTTAGAGGCTTAGAGCGAAACCTGTATAAATTGTAGCTGGATCTTATTATGCATGCATAAGCTATGGCGAAATTAAAAGTACATTGACCTTCCTGAAACTTTGATTTATTCATTTCTTATTAAAAGTTTAATTTCTTCGGCATATGATCATATTATACCGAATAACTTATATTCGATTTTATGAATAGAACCCTGTATATTTTTAAAGCATCTACTTTATGTTTTTAGTAAAGAGTAAAAGGAGACGATAACAACTTTTCGTTTGCTTAACCCGAATCATAAGTTAAAAAAAGTAGTGTATAAACTCTATTTTAATATTTTTCGAAAAACCAACTTTTGCATTCACTATCCAAAAACAAAAGCTACTACATGCGTACGAAAACCATGCATTAATTAACAACGAAATAAGAAATACAAAAGTTTAACATGTCTATGTCAGCATATAGAATACTAGATGAAAATCCTTGATGGAAAAAGTGTACTCGATAAAAAAAAAGCAAGTTTAGATCAAGAAAAGTATAATTATTATATGGAATATTAACTAATCACTATATAAATATATATAATTTTTTTAGGTCGCTATAATGGGATGAGCCAAACAAGAAAAAAAAAAAACCACTTTGGTGATAAGTTTTGATTGATGACAAAGCATCAATTTCCTAGAAATGTACTACAATTTAATATACAATATATATTTGATTATAAGCACAAAAAAAATATTATATATAGTATTTCTTGGTAAGCCTACACTGAAATTGTATGGCTGTTGTTATTGTCAATCAAATAGTTGTAAACTATAGTGTTCTTTCGGTTATACGATATAAGTCGAAAGTCATTCAATAAACGTCTGGTTTTATGGACGTCAAAATTGTGTTTACGCAAATTCCAACAATATACGCTTAAAACAATTGAAAATTTTGATCATTTCTTCCATTAGCGATGTGGCCTAGCTATGACTATTTATATATTAAGGATGTTAATAATTAGCGTTAGAAAAATGTGACATAATATATATTCTACTATGAGACAGTTGATGATTCTACTTTTCAAAAACAAAGGCAAAGAAAAAAAGGATTTTTGCAGGTTAATCTTATCTACAACCGTAACAGATGTGCTGATAGATAAGGAAAGAAACACTTCAAGCATTGGCTATTCTAGAAGAGATTTAATCAATACCATTAGTAATGGTTGCTTTGGATGTAAATATAGAGATCATTGTGATAGGTTTACTCTTTAGTAGTCTACACGACTATATCCATAATTATTTTCTTATGGGCTATTACTATAACAAACCTTTATGGCATTTATGTAATAAAAAATATTTAGGTTTAAGATACTTATTCATTTAAATTCTAAATTTTTCAAAATTAAAATTTATAGAAGCAAGATTGTATCTTTTTCTGGTGAACAGGTGTTTTGCTTACAGTTTGGATCAAACTTTTTAGAGTAGGTTTTGAGTAGTATATTTCCTCGCTATATGGATCACATAACCCAATTTTGGGTCTAAGCCGTTTTTGAGATTGGATTGAAAACTTATGTGTTCTCGCGGTCATGCCAGATCTTGGCCGTTAGCAATATAATGAGATACAATCTTATTTTTAATACGCGAGCTCATCAGAAAAAATAAATTATATTAAATATTATCAGTTCGTGAATCGATAGTTTCAATTTAATCTAGATAGTAATTTATATTTGGCTTGTGTTTTTTCTTTTTATTTTTGTGTTATTTGTTTAAGTTTCTCGATTGTGTGATGTTAATTTTATATGTTTCCCTCATTTGTATTTCTTAACTTTAAATTTGTATCGTTAATCGCAGGTTTTATACTAATTTTCAGTATAATAACAAAACTAACATGACCGTATTTACAGGGATTTAAGGGAAAAAAAATGCAAGCTATCCATTGAATGCAATTATGTTTCTTAGAGAATAGAGAAAGTCATAATTCATAAATAAATAAAAACATTCTTCATTAACAATTGTAACTGAAAACTACATACTAATTCGAAAAATAATAATAGATTAACTGAAATTTGTAAGTTGAAAAAAAAAAGTATGCATTAGAGAAGCTCCTAATTAAGTGAAACTTGTAAGTTGTAACCATTTTTATCTAATTTTTATTATGAGTGTGTATGTTTAATTTTTTTTTTTTTGTAGAAACCCTGATTCCTAAAATATTTTAATTTGTTTGTAGTGTGTAGTTTGTATATGTATATTATTTTAAAGATGAAACACATTAACTATTAGCTTTTTTATACAGATTAACTTTTAAATAGTTTTTTTGCACCATAACTATGAACTATATAAAATATCTAAGAAATCCATATATAGTATAGAGAGGTCTTATGAATCTTTCCATTCAAGCAACAGACCAAATTACTCTATGTTACCTCCTACCTTTTATCATTTCTTTGGATCAACCTTTTCTAATCAATGATTATTCAAAGTGTTCTTACATTTTTTGTTCAAAGATATAACCTTTCGTTATCAAATAATAAAAATGGATGTTACAGCTTACAATCTTTAACTCATACTAACACTTCTTTTAGATCTCGTAATATACTATATGATTTATAACCAGAAAGCATTAATATTGCAGAGATTTATTACTCGCTTATTATTGTTATCTTTTTTTGTACTCGCTTATTAGTCTAGCAATATATGAGATTAATTAAACTGAGTATATCAATTCAGTGACACAAATAATTGTCACTTGGATTTTAAAATCAGCCGCAATAGATAAAAACGATTGTAGTTTTGGTTTGGAATCTTCAAATAAATCAGACTTTGAACTGATATAGGTATAACTTACTCCTTAAGTTAACAACCTTTTAAAATTAAAGAGAAAAGAGACGCACAACTTTCCAAACATAATTGAACATGTTCTGATACTTCACTAACCATACTGAAAAAGATGGCATAATCACTTTATTTCTATAACACACACATCTTATCTGGTAATATTAATTTTTTAACCTCTATAATAGTCTATATTTTTCAAGTATATATGCTAAATGCTTGTGTACGTTCCAGACTCGCTCATAAAAGAATTCAAACAATAATAAAATAAAATACATTCTTAAATCTATAGGTCGGGTCCTCACACGTATTACTATAGATTTCATGATTTAAGTCCGCTCAGTTAAGAGTAATAGGTTAATAACGAGCTCGTTATATATATATATCTTTTTTGAACAAAGCTAGTTATATCATCATGAAATTGATTAAGAAATCGAACAATCATACTGATTTATTATTCATGGAAATGTAGGTACATCTATTAAGGTAATTTAGCTAGATTTAAATCAAATCACTCGATTTAAAATTATGTCAAAATTTGAAAACAGAAAAAGAACAACGTGAGATGTCTATGTAATCAGAAACAATGGGGGTCTTTTCTAGTCGCATTCTGGCATTAGCTGAGTCGTGTTTTTTTTTGGTTTCTGTTAGATTAATGTTGAAACAATATATAATTAATGCTTGTTAACTGTGTAAGTGTTTATAACTGTTTCGAAATAGTCTTAATTTAACATAATGAAACTAAAGGGACTAGTATATAGTTTAACCTTGGTTGGTAGGTGCCAGCTCAGACTCTTTAATAGGCACATTGCACATATCTAATACACAAATTTCAGGAATTATATGGAAATAACTAAATGTTTAGTACTGTACTATGTATATTTTTCGAGCCGAAATAATTTAGCCTAGTATTCATAGCCAATAATTTCCTACCAACATTATTTTGATATGTATGTTTTTGTGTACCTTCTTTTTTACCTTTTAAATTAAGTATGTTTATAGTTGATGGTATAAAAAACGGAAACAACATTTAAATGAACTGCTAAAATATAAGATTACATCTAATTATACGTATGATGATAGTAGATTAATCAACTAATTATTCTAAATAATAAGATAGATTTTTATTCTATTCATGTCGACGATTTTGTCATAAGACTCATGACAAAAGCTCACAATCAAATTAGACGACGAATAACACAAGCACTAAAAAAACTGGAACACAAAAATAAATAAAGCAAATTTATATATATTATGTGATATTCTAGAAACTGTGTGATAGATTTTGTTGTTTTCAGTTTATCGTTTTAACTCATGTCGACGAGCAACAAAAAAACTCACTAACGATTAACAAACGTCGACGAAAAAAACATAAAAAAGCTCACTAACAACCGATGATTAACACAAGCAATTAAAACTGGAACACAAGAAAATATTATAAAAGCAGTTTTATTCTTTATTCTAATTTCTAAATGAACAAATCAATGACGCGTGTCCCACAAATAATCACCACCACTCTCTACTTCACAAGCCTCTCTCTCACTCACTCATGTATATAAACTCAAAGCATTATTTGGAATGTTAAGTCACAAGAAAGAAAATAGACTATAACGAGAACGAAATGGGGTACGAGAGGCTCGGACCATCCAAACCAAGTGGTTCGGTCACCACAACCACAGCTCCGTCTCCGAACCTAAACCAAGTCTCTACTTCAGCACAACCGGAGAATATTAACCGGAGAAGAAAGAAGCTTCTTGTGTCTTCAATAATCGTAGCCTTCGCACTCATATTCGCCGCCGCGATCTTCGCCGGAATCAGAACACAACTCAAATCGTCCCAACACGTCCCAGGCTTAGCTCGAAAACCAAGCCAAGCAATCTCCAAAGCCTGCGAGTTGACTCGTTTCCCCGAGTTATGCGTTGACTCACTCATGGACTTTCCCGGCTCACTCGCCGCTTCCTCCGCCAAAGACCTGATCCACGTGACGGTGAACATGACGCTCCACCACTTCAGCCACGCTCTCTACTCCTCTTCCTCCTTCTCATTCCTCCACATGCCGCCACGTGTCCGCTCCGCCTACGACTCCTGCATCGAGCTACTCGACGACTCGGTCGACGCGCTCTCACGCGCTCTCTCCTCCGTCGTCTCCGGCGGAAAAACGAAGCCGCAAGACGTGACGACGTGGCTGAGCTCGGCTCTGACGAACCAGGACACTTGCGCCGAGGGATTCGACGGCGTCGACGACGGCGGCGTGAAGGATCAGATGACGGCGGCGCTGAAGAATCTCTCGGAGCTTGTTAGCAACTGTTTAGCGATTTTCGCGGCGAGCGGCGACGGCGACGGGAACGATTTCGCCGGAGTGCCGATACAGAACCGGAGGCTTTTGGAAGTGGAGGGTAGTGAGCGAGACGAGAAATTCCCGAGATGGACGAAGAGAAGAGAGCGTGAGATATTGGAAATGCCGGTATCTCAGATACAAGCTGATATTATCGTCTCGAAAGACGGCAACGGCACGTGCAAGACCATATCGGAAGCCATCAAGAAAGCTCCTCAGTACAGTACTCGCCGGACTATTATCTACGTCAAAGCCGGAAGGTAATTTTACTGTTTTACCCCTTCCATTTCGCGTTTTACCGATTTTTTTTTTTTTAAAAAGAAATTTTTACTGTGACGTCCGTGATAATGACGAAAGTAGCACATTGTACGGAATGTGGTAATAATTGCGTTATATCTCAGTGAAATCTTCTGTGTGTGTGTTTTTGGAAGGTACGAAGAGAACAACCTCAAGGTCGGTAGAAAAAAAATTAATTTGATGTTCGTTGGGGATGGAAAGGGTAAAACTGTCATTTCCGGAGGGAAAAGTATATTTGACAACATTACCACTTTCCACACGGCGACATTTGGTAAGGTTTTTGGTTCCCTCGATTCTCTTTTTTTTAGCACTTTCAACTTTTTGAAAATAATACAACAATAATGATCAATAGTTAAACAGTAAAAACACGTAAAAACAACATTATTAAACAAATACAACGAACCAAAGATATTTTTTAGCACCATGATTGAAAAATTTAAAGCTCATTTTGTGGTAATGACAGAAATACAATCATGAAAAGAGCTTAATGGCGGTCAACATTTATGATATAATAATATAGTATCGTTTTCCCACTGATTTTAATTTGTGATATACATATAAAATATGTTTTGACTGAAGATATTTGTGGTGTATTAATAAGTTACGAAAGAAAAAAGAAAATATTGAAAAGAAAGTTCTTGGAATCAGATTCGTGACGGGGCCATGAGCTTAGCTGTATAGATTTGGGAGTGATAGGTTAAGAGTGTCCGACAGATTCTCTTAAAGTCAGAATCACTTACAAAACTAGTTGTCTTTTACCACTAGTGTTTATTCTTCATATGGATTATGGACCACTAAAGAAAGCTAGTTTAAGTAAAATTTGTAATAGTAATATGTACTCGGACCAGATAACAATGTCAATATTATGGACCACTAAATTTTGATTTTTATTGGAATATTTTAAAGCTTTTTTTTGCCAAGACCGTAAGTAATCGTTTTTTTGTTTTTAATCATCTTTTTTAAACAAAGAAATTAAAAAAGAAACGTCATTTACCCTTTTTTGTTGTCATTTACTCTTTTTGTTGTTGTCATTTACCCATTATATACCGCGGTCATTTACCCATTCTCTACCGATTCGGTTCCAAACCCACCATATCACAGACTAACTTTAATTTTCTACCAACTTTTTTCTCACTCATGGTAGTTCATACCTAATTTGTACGTTCTTCTTAGGTACATTTTGCTTGTTTGTGTGTTAAAAACTTAGAGAATACCATGATCGCTTCCTCAAAAACCTTTCAATATTATATCCAAACAAATTTACTTATTTTTAACCAAAAAAATTTCTGGTTAGCAATAGAAACTAAATTATCACCTTTTTTCTTCCTCTGTACATACTTAGATTTTTTATTATTTTTTTTACAGAATTTTATATTTGATCTGATGATTTAATGCTTTGTAGTTCGGTTTCTGTTTTTGGATTGATTTTCAATATGTTTGCGATTGGATTTGGTTAGGCTATACATACTTACACCGAATCGGACATCCTATGTGATGCTGCCGCTTATCCAATAATCCAACTAAACTCACATGCATGTTGTTGTGGTTCTTAATGTGCATTAAATGCATTACTACCCAAATGAATTCGACAAATAAAAAACATTCTTTCGTAAAACAAAGTTCAACATCACACTCATCTAATTTTCACTCCTGTATACCCTCATCCACGTACGTACATCACCACATTAGTAAACGCATGTTTCGTAAATGCATGCATATTCATATCATCATAGATATATCACATTTGGAGATTTATATAATTATATATACATCTAGAAGGATAAACGCGTTCACATGTAACGTATCTTAAAAAGTTGGGGGTAAGCCGCGCAATTACTGACACATATTTGTGTATATATATACATGCATGATGGGAGACAGAGAAGAGTTGCATTTATTTATATATATATAGTTGGATGTGGGTCATGGCTAATTTTGTGGTTGGACGCGTTAGAGACCACCACTAGTCGCATTAACATTATTAGGTAAAGACATTTCTCAAATACTAGTCTTTGATTTTAATTATATATAAATCAAATTTAAGTTTTGTCTGATTACATTTGTTGCATCTATATCTAGATATCAAACACTTATTGATGATGAGTTAACTTATTAATATGCCTGTTAAATTTAAGGAGCTAGCTAGTATAACACAAAAGTAATTAATTCTTGTTTTTCTTGTTTTGTTTATTGTTTTAGCCGCAACTGGAGCCGGGTTTATTGCAAGGGACATTACATTTCAAAATTGGGCTGGTCCAGCAAAGCACCAAGCTGTTGCACTCCGCATTGGAGCTGACCACGCAGTGATCTACCGGTGCAATATAATCGGTTACCAAGACACGCTCTACGTTCATTCAAATCGCCAATTTTTTCGCGAATGCGATATTTACGGTACAGTTGATTTCATCTTCGGTAATGCGGCGGTAGTGTTACAAAACTGTAGCATTTATGCGCGCAAACCCATGGATCTTCAGAAAAACACAATCACAGCTCAAAACAGAAAAGACCCGAATCAAAACACGGGAATATCGATACACGCCTCTAGAGTTCTTGCAACACCTGATCTCCTAGCAACCAATGGTACTATCCAGACGTTTCTAGGTCGACCATGGAAGCAATTTTCTAGGGCGGTTTACATGTTATCATATATTGGAAATCATGTACACACGAGAGGTTGGCTCGAGTGGAACACAACATTTGCTTTGGAAACTTTATACTATGGAGAGTATTTGAACACTGGACCCGGGTCGAATATTACGCAACGTGTGAATTGGCCAGGCTATCGGGTCATCAATTCGACGGCAGAGGCAAACCGGTTTACGGTGGCGGAATTTATATATGGTTCATCGTGGTTGCCTTCAACCGGGGTTTCGTTCTTGGCCGGATTAAATATTTAGGTAGAGAAAAAATGCTTTTGTTTCTGATGATTTGTTTCATTCTTACGTCCTTATATTAATGGACATATGATTAATCCCATATATATTTTAACTTTTTTAATTGTATTCTCTCCAAAGGTATTATTCAATAAGATCGTGACGTGAGGATAATTTTATAATATCTTTTTTGATAATACAGATCATTCAATTCGGTGCGATGAGGTAATCGATGACTGATGTCTATATAAATATACAAACTAGTTTGATTTTACATTAGATTTTGAATCGATTTTTTTTTCCGTTTAGAAAATAAATAATACTCCAACAAAATTTACTTTAAGGTCATTTTTGTGTCAATAAGAGGACTAAAACTCTTGCGACATTATATTTGAACCCATTGAATGTTATGAAAGCTGTAACAAATTATATCTATATTATATTATATTCAAACATTACAAAAAAAACTGAAGTGGATGTGTCGGTGACGGAGACGAACCAATGTGACCGAAGTCAATAAGGTCACGGCCCACGACCGACACTGACTGTGGGGTCCACGGTTTTGGGAACTTTGGTTCTAATAATTCTATGTTCCGACTCATCACTCGACAATACTACCAAACAAGAAAATGCTCTTTTACGTTATGTGTTATCATTCATTTTAGTTTAAACTGAGAAATAATTAAATATGACAAATTGATGACCTAACATTAGCTAGAACCTATAAGTACTGATATAAGTTACTGTTCCATTTACTTCACGTCAAGAACTAGTATCTATTAGAAGAAATAGACGGCCGTCATATGGGTAAGGGATCAAATTCTACCATCTTTGTTATTGTAAACGTTTTGAGTGGCAAAAATAGTGTTTAATATAAATCTCAAAGATTAATTTAATCAGTAAACAATTGAACGTGACCAAAAAGAAAAATTTAATCAGTAATCTGGTAGCTTAAGTACATTCTTGCGATCTGCTATAGAAACGCAGAATAAGCTTTGCTGGATCTAAAATCCAATCAAGCATTTTGTTTGGAGAGGAATCGCACTTCCAAATCCTTAAATAAAAAAATAAAATCGCCTACCTTTATCTTCTTTCAACCGTCCTATTGTCTCTAATTAATTAACATATGATCCGCATGTATTTATTTTGGAAAAAAACAAACAATTATTTAATTGTGCCTCTATCCCGGACATTTTATGAAATAAAATAAAAGTAAGAGAAATTACCTGAAATGACTCAAATCTTTTTAAAAATTACTAAATTGACTTCCTCTCCAGACTTTTACTAGAATAACTCTAATTTTATGCTAATAAGACCCTTAAATCGTAACTTGTTTTACTAATCACGGATTTGCCATTTTTAATTAATTTTTGAAGGAAAAATATTCACTTTCCCCCATCAAACGTTTTTATCCAGTTATTTTAAATTTTTAAAAATTTATCCTAATATTGTGCAAAATGATACGATTTTGTTTCCTAAATCCCCTTCAGTCATCATTTTCTTTCTAAATTTCTCAGTCACGATTTTATTTTCCTAAACAAAAAATCTCTTAAAGAAACGAAATCCTCTAATCTAGCTGCCATTAAGTCACCTTTGTGCCGAAGCGATTTTCGATTGGAAAACGTAAGCCGGTCTTGTTGTCTCAGAGTCGAAGTAGCAATCCGTTTTCAGTCTGTCCTGGTGACCTAGAAATCTGCTCCTGTCATTTCCAGGTAAGAGTTTACTACCGGTAAGTTGTTTCCCACTCTAATCGATTTATTTTGTTTTGCATCTTGGCGCCATTGAATTTTTTTAACATGCATCTGTTTTTCATTTGGAGTAAATCTTCGTGTTAATTATTGCAAATTTACTGAGTTAGTTTGTATATCTTTGCAGGTATGGCTTCTTCACTTTCAATAAGAAAGTACCCTCAACGAGAGTATGAACTGGGAAAAGCACCGATTCAAAAGAAGAGCATGAATCACAACTGCCACTTGGCCAATCTCAGTTTCATAAAAGAATCCCTTGGGGATGCTGTATGGAACGACTTGAAAGAATCATCCATTGGGGTGATAATTAAGCTTCATGAAATCGAGTATGTGTGGTCTGCGAAGCATGTTCACTACTTTCTCACAAATCAGCTGGCTACAAAGAGGACTTATGAAATGTGGTCTTTGGTTGGAAGCAAACCAATACGATTTTCATTGTATGAGTATGGAGATATCACCGGCTTGAATATTGATCCATTTGAGGCCAAAGATACCTGGGATGTTGACCATAAGGAGCTCTGGGGAGAAATGGGAGTGTCTACAATTGAAGGACCTAATTTGAAAGAGTTGCTGACGGTTTTGGGCAGATGTCGTCCTTGGGATTTTGAAAAAAGGAGAATGGTCGGCTTGCTCTGTCTTCTTTCTATTGGAATCTATGGTATATCACAAACTAGCAGAATCCCATTGCCGACTGCAAAAAGGGTTATGGATCGAGAGAAGTTTGATACATATCCTTGGGGTCGGGTTGGATTTAAGCAATTGATAGAGTCCATTAAATGTGTAACTTACGAAGGCAAGCTCACTTACATAATTCGTGGGTTCGTCCATGTCTTGCAAATCTGGGCGTGTGAGGCAGTTGTTGGAATAGGTGAGATATCTGGTAGAAAGATACAAGGGACTCCGCAAGTGCCTCTACTCTCATGGGGTGGATCACGGATGAGATTCAAGTTCGATCGGTTCGTTTTGGAAGAGCAGGAAAAACATGGCGAGGTATCACTTAACCTTACTCATATCAAATTCACTGATCCTTTGTAGTAATATGATATTTTTTTTTAGTTAAAGATTATTTCTTTATTAGGTACGTGTTCGCCATATGATTATCAAACCATACGAGGATATATACCCTAAGTGGGAGGGTGATGAACATGATGAGGACTTAGACAATATGATCAAGGACATTCTTAATGATCAGTTGGACACAAAAGCTTGGGATTTTCCTCCTATTAAAAAACGCAAACCCGGTGAGGATGACGATGACAAAGTTACCAACGTTAAAGACTTCGTAAAGAAGAAACGATGAGAGACTACACTAATCGTGGGGACAGACACTTCAAAGGTGATAAGAAATTTTAACCACCTATCTGTTTGTTGTTTTCATAATGTTTTACTATTGTTTTGACCACCTATTTTATTTTTTCTTAATGTATCAAGGTTGCATCGGAAGACCAGCGTGTACTTGATTCAAACGTTGCTGGGCTTGTGAACATGGTGGAGACACTTTCTGGTAAGTTGATGACGTGAAGCTCACTTTAGAAAAGAAATCGGATGATGATCTTACATTATGCGGGCTTATGAAGATGATGGAGAGTCTTGCAAAAAAAATTGAAGAAAGAGATGGTGCAATTGATGCTACTATTGCTGCACGTTGCACAAGCGTTGAGGGTGGACTCAATATAAGGATCAGGTCCCTTGAGAATGACATGAAGGAGCTTAAAGAGAAACTTATACCCACTGAAAAGAGAGAAGTGGCGGTTTCAAATGTTAACGTTGATGATGACGCATCAAGCCAAACTCCGGTATGTTAAAAGTTCCCATGTTTTGTGTGTATTTCTTTTTGTGTTGTCATGTCTGTATTTGAAAACTTAAATCATGTTTAAATTTGGTTTCTTTGTCTCTGTTTTGTACTAAATAGGTAACTATGTCGTAGCTCTTTCATAAAACATGACAAATTTTTTTTGAATTATGTGACATATATATATATATATATGTTTTTTTCACTTGCTTGCTTTGCAAGGTACATTATTTAGTTAAGTATGTCAATTTTTTTTTGGTTTTTGGTAGAGACTAAAGCATCATCACAAGATAATATGCCTGTCCACTGTGTTGTAAAGGCTGCAAAACATGCACAAAGGAGTAAGGGTGGTGTTAAGGCTGTGTGTAAAAAAGATGTTGGTAAGCCTCAAGACAGAAAACAAGGTGTCAATGTTGAAAAGGGAAAATACGTTGTTGATTTGGGGGAAGAAGCCTCTACCGAGTCAGTTCGAAGAGAACAAGCGTTTAGTAATACTTTGAATTCTCTCTTAGCCGGTATAAAAGGCTTAGATGATGATGATCCTACAGATAAAAGACAACCTCTATTGGCGCCGCCCCTGAGATGGCCTTACGTAGGCAGTTCAGACATGAAACGCATCATTACCACTACGAGGTCCACTGAAATTTATGATCCAATATCAAAAGTGCCAGAAAGCAAACGGCGTGCAATGATGGACTTCATTGAAGACGACTAGTAAGTTTAATGTATTCATTGTAACTTTTAATTGAAAAATTTATTATCTTAGCTCATGACATCGTACATTGCAGTCAACTACCACTAGGAACCACCCATTCAGCGTTGTTATTCTACAAGAAAATTATTTGGCAAGGCCAGATTGGCTGAGCCAAGTATGCTGGCTGAATGAGATGTTAGTTTTTGTTCTTTATGCTTTTACTGCTTTGTTACAAGAGACAAGGTTATATATATGTCATTAATAAGTATCCGAGGTATTGTTGCTAATTAGTTTTGTTATTGTGATGCAGCACATGGCAGCAGTCATGAAGATGTTCACAAAACGGTCTACACGTCCAAAATCTCCTTTCCAATAACCACGAATCGCGTTTTTGGACAATAATTTCATAGCTGCATGGACTCTTGACTTCAACCGCTACAACCCAAAGTCGTTTACTTTCGGAAGAATTTACCTGGAGGCATTCAATGGTGAATATTAGCATGATCTGCGTACAAACAAGAGGTGGTTCTTTGACATTGATCACTTGTACGCCACGCATTTCATTAAAGGTGACCATTGGATTGCTTTGGACATCAACTTGCGTAAAGAGACCATTCACATTTACGATAGCATAATGTCCCATTCCGACGACAAGGAGATTAATATTGCATGTCGGCAATTTTCTCGAATGCTTCCCCAGTTGCTTAACATTATGATGCCTGAGAACCTCCGGAAGAAGCATAACAATCAATACAAGGTAACTAGGAAGAAAGGGGTACCACAGAACCTCAACCCTGGAGATTGTGGTGTTTTTTCTATTAAGTACATTGAATGCCTTGCTCTGGGATGTACTTTCGATGGCATTTGTGACAAAAATGTAGATCGTCTTCGTGATCAGATAGCATCAGAGTTGTTTGATGAGTTGGATGAACATGAAAAGGAAAGGACTGATCCATTTCCTCATGGCAAAGACAAAGATCATCTGATAACGGCAACACAAATTTAGGAGAGCAGGAAATCCATGATAGGCTATTAATGTTCCAAAACATATAAAACTTTGAAGAAATTGTACACAATATAAGCGACATAACTTATGAAAGCACTCTAAAAATAAAGAAACGTAAACAGTGTTCTCAATTACATGTTTGCTACACATGTCTTGCAATTATGACCACTTTGGTTACAGATTGAGCATTTGTGTTCTTTTCTTGGCCGTTTCTTATCCAGCGCTTTTTCCAAAGCTGATTTTATCCTACTCGCCTTCGGCCCTCCCGGTGGTTGACGTACCTCAGGCGGTTGACAGATTTTCATAGCGACATGTTCTCGAACAGGTAAAGCAGAATCTCCTGGCATCACAACGCCATTGTATGTGTTGTACAAATAATATTTGGTATAATAAGGATGATAAAGTGAAATGCGAGACTTATTTTTAGCCTCTGCTGCTGCAAGAGCATGAACACACGGCAACTTCTCCAAGTCAATTCTACGACAAGAGCATTTTTTTTCTGTCAAATTTACAACATGGAGAGATGAACTACCAGTCACTTGTGATTGATGATCGTCAATCGCTTGTACCGTAAGCTGCTTTGCATAATTCACCCGAGACTGTACAAATAATTTGAATTTTTAGAACCACGAATAATGTTTGATTAAATAGAAGATGTAACTAGTTTAATATTTATACCTCTAGCAGCTTCTCAACTCCACGTGAAAGTGTTGTCTTCAATTGCTCTGCTTCATTTCTTCTTTCAGAAAACCATCTAGTCATCATTAGCCTAACTTCTTCTAAAAGTCTTACAATTGGTAAACTCCTGGACTTTGATAGCACTTGTTGATGGATTCAGCAATGTTGGTTGTAGTTAGATTGTACCTATCACCGGGAAAATGAACCCGAGCCCACATCTTCACATCAGCTCGCAGAAGATAACTATGTAATACTGGATTTAACTCTCCAATTTGCGCAAATATCGTTTCAAAATCGGAAAGTCTGAAACAGTTTGCAGCTTTTTTAACCAACCCAAATGCATCACCACCTCTGTATCGCTGGAGTATATTCTTATATAGATGATAAGTACAAATTCCTCGAGTTGCCATGGGATATACCTTGCCAATTGCATTACCAATTGCTTTGTGTCTATCAGAAATAATGGCAAGTCTCTCATCATCCGGGATCACAGAATTGAGTTGTCTGAAGAACCATTCCCAAGAATTATCATTTTCTGTGTCAACAATTGCAAATGCGATTGGAAAAATCTGAAAATTGCCATCTTGAGCCGTTGCTATGAGGAGCGTCCCTTTATATTTACCCTGTAAATAAGTCCCATCAACAACAACTACTTTTCTCAAGAAAGGAAACCCTGACATGCTAGCACCGTATGCAATGAAGAGGTACTTGAATCTTTCACTACCATCAACCTCAAGACGGGTAAATGTTCCAGGATTATCTCTTTTTATCATGTACAGATACGCAGGTAATGTTTCATATCCTTTCTCGGGACTTCCTCTAACCAGATCTCGAGCAATTTTTAATGTGCGATGAGCTTTCCAATACTTCATCTGCACGAGTAAAAAAATAAGTAACAAGTCTTCCACTTCGTCAAAGTAAAAGTGGACATAAGAAACTATAAAGTAAACTACCTGAATTCCAAAACGAAAGCTCATCAAGTTTGCTACATGACTTGGTAGAACAGTAGGTTCAATTCCACCAACATAATCCTTGTACAAAACTGCAAGAATGTCAGGACTTGCTTTTCGTGATCGAGAAGATCTATCCATTACAGAGCATGTATGTTCTGAAATATATACTCGAACGTAAAATGATGCAGAATCTCCGACGGGTGTAGCTCGGACTCTCCAACTACATTCTTCAACCCAACACTTGACAACTAAAAGGCTTGGCGTTGATTTATCAACAACGAAATCAAACTTTTTCAAAACAGATAAAATTTTCAATCTTGTCTCTAATGCACCTTTAGAGTCGTACCTTTGACCGACAACTAAATTAAGTGAATTTAGTTCTAGTTGAACATGCGGTTCAAGTTCTTTTACGTCCTTGGTTGGCATACTCGAACCTTTTCTTTTTAGAGGTAACTTTTGTTTCTCAGACTCGTCTTCGATTTGCCTTCCGTATACGCTAAAATCCTCATCATCAGAAGTTGCTCCATCAGAATCATCACAGCAATCAAATCTGAACTCCTCATCGTCGTCAAATACGTCCTCGTTAAACCCAGAATTGCCACCCTTATTGTTTTCATTTGTATTACAACCAACATCATTTTCATTGCACTTCATCTTACGTCTTCCTTCTTCACAGCACATTCCTTTCCCATTTCCGGCAACTTTTTCCGTTATTTCAACGCACAGTAACTGTATCAGATCTAAACTGTCCAAGAAAACCTTGAAATTGTCTACAATTGCCAACAAAAACAGGTGGTAGCGTAAGCTTACAAAGAACCCTCTTTGGAAGCATGTAACTGAGCTTAACCTCATGTGTATTATTATCTAACCCGTAATCTTCAAACACCATCCAAAGAAAATCAACATACCGTGTACTCTTATTAGCATTCAGAATTTTGCATCCTCTAGAATTGTCAACCCCAAACAGCCATCTGCAATTGTCAAATCGCCAGTGACCACATACCAGAATCACTTGATCCATCGTAGAAGAAAAGAGTATAAGAAGAGAACATGCAAACTACAAATATCGATAATTAGTTTAAGAGGAGGATAAAGAGGTAGATACAGACATCGTTCTCTAAAAGTTAAACTCTTATGTTCGATAATACGTGCGGCAACCCTAGATCATCCTCGGTTGCATGTGCTAAAAAAAACATGCTGACATGGATAATTTCCATAATTAAATCTGTCAAAGAAAGTAAACCTTTCATAACTAATAATTAAATCTGTTCTTATTTATCTATCATAACTGCAATATATATGTCTGCTGAAAATAAATTTTCTATCAATAAAAAGGTTAATCTAGTAAGAGTACATGTCTGTCATTACTACAATACTGTAAATATGTTACCAAACGACAGATATATATAAGTTTATTGTAACGTAAACATAATTCTACCGTAACGTAAAAGTCAATCTAGTAAACAAAATTAATGTCCAAATAAATCTGCTAACTAATAGACTTATTAAATGTTAATAAAACTCTGCTTCCATAAGAACAAATATATCATCACTTGGATGCATAACTCTGTCAAATAACTTAAATCTGTCTCAAATTTAAAGTATTAAATATTAAAACTGCCATATTTGAAATAAGTTTGACGTGTCTATTGGTAAATTTATTAAATATATCTACCAATAATTATTAAGTTTGCCATTTGACAAAAACTCTACCGACTAAAATTATTTCTACTGTGTTGGAAGATAGATTTTACGTAAAAAATCTATGATTTGTCCTTAAAATCTGTCATCGCGAATAAGTTTGTGGTGTCGTGATATAAACTTATGGTATTAAGTCTATGATTTCATTTTAAGTCTACCAAACGCAAATAATTTTACCAAACGCTCATAACTTTGTCATTATTATACTGATAGATTTAACATAATAGACATAATTAAATACGAAACGTGTGGTGGCATAACTGTAATTAATTCGATTTTTTTGCTGAGGTGTAAATAAATTAATAATGGCATTTTTATAATATTTTTTCGTATAACTGTTTTATAAGGGCAGTTTGGGTAATAATTTTACTAGAATAACCTATATTTTTTGTAAGTTAGTCTAGTAATTTTAGTTAAAATTAGAGTTATTCAAGTAAATCTCCCTAAAAGTAATCCTTAAGCTACTGTTCTGATGCAGCTGCTTTTAAATGTGATTTTGTTTAAAGATTCAACAAAAAAGTATGATCACCATTCTGTTTTTCTTATGCATTATTGGTTCCTAATCAACATATTTGTTCAGTGACTTTGGTCTAATCTATTTAACCTGCCCAACGGATATTTGTTCAATGACTTTGGTCTAATCCACTTAACCTGTCTAACTTATTTAGGAAGACCGATCCATGAGTTTTTGCCGTCTAAAACCCAACAAAAAAAAATTCATAGTTAAAAAAAATCATAAACAACATGCTTAAGATTCGAACCTGCGATCAATATGATATAATTTCTTATATAAACTACTACATTACACTACAAATTTCAAAATTTGATGCTCTTAACTTTTATATAATTTTTGGCATCCTAAAGCAAAGGTTTTATCCGCTTTAGCCCAACCGGTTAAAGGTTTACAGGGGAGTCCGCCTTATGTCTCAATCTATGTTGCATTTCATACACCCGAATCAGGGGGTCTTGTATGTGGGTATATTGTAACTAAACTTATAATATTGTTATTTAAGAGAGTTTTTGTTAACCTGGATTCAAGTATATCTCATGCGATTTCGAATAAACAAGTTTACACAAATTGAGAATCTAATACAAAAATATATCAATTGTTGCATACAAAAAAAAAAAAACAATGGATCACTCTAAAAATCGGGTGTGTGGCCCAAAACAGCCCGGATATGAATAGCCACAAGCCCTAAGCGCACGTATATTCCATCACTGTCTTTCTCTACTCCCACGCATAAACAAACTTAACCCAGTTCCCAAACAAGCCCACAACTTCATCATCTCCAAAATCCCAAACTCTTCTAAAACCCTAACAAGAACCCTATCTCCCATTTTCTGGAAACATTTTTTCCATACTCCCACTGAGAAAATCTCCAGAACGAACATTTCAACCATGTCGATTTCTAAAGCCGTCTTTTTGAACCACCTGCAAACAATCGCGAGAGCCTGCCGTCCCCGTGTTCCGTCGCCATTGTTCGCCGTCCGGCACATGTCTTTCGCGACGCAGGAAGAGGCCGCCGCGGAACGTCGCCGTCGTAAGCGTCGTCTTCGCATGGAGCCACCGCTTAATTCGTTCAACAGATCCCCGCAACAGCAGCAGCAGCCTCAAATCCCTAGACCTATCCAGAACCCAAATGTCCCGAAATTGCCAGAATCGGTGTCGGCTCTCACCGGGAAACGCCTCGATCTCCACAATCATATCTTGAAATTGATTCGGGAGAACGATCTGGAAGAAGCAGCTCTCTACACTCGTCACTCTGTGTATTCAAATTGCCGGCCGACGATTTTCACCGTGAACGCCGTTTTGGCTGCGCAGCTCCGGCAAGCCAAATACGGAGCGCTTCTGCAGTTGCATGGTTTCATCAATCAAGCTGGTATCGCCGCTAATATCATCACATACAACTTAATTTTCCAGGCTTATCTTGATGTTAGGAAACCCGAAGTTGCTCTTGAACAGTACAAGCTGTTTATTGATGGTGCGCCATTGAATCCTTCGATTGCTACTTTTAGGATTCTGGTAAAGGGTTTAGTTGATAATGATAATCTTGAGAAGGCGATGGAGATTAAGGAGGATATGGGTGTTAGAGGTTTTGTTGCAGACCCTGTTGTTTATAGCCATCTGATGATTGGGTGTGTGAAGAAATCTGATGCAGATGGTGTTTTTAAGCTTTATGAGGAGTTGAAGGAGAAGCTTGGTGGGTTTGTTGAAGATGGTGTGGTTTATGGGCAACTGATGAAAGGATATTTCATGAAAGGGATGGAGAAAGAAGCCATGGAGTGTTATGATGAAGCTATTGGAGAGAACTCAAAGGTTAAGATGAGTGCTATGGCTTATAATTACGTGCTGGAGGCTTTAAGCGAAAATGGGAAGTTCGATGAGGCTTTGAAGTTGTTTGATGCGATGAAGAAGGAACATAATCCACCGAGGCTTTTGGCTATGAACTTGGGAAGTTTTAATGTGATTGTTAATGGGTATTGTGCAGAAGGAAGGTTTGAGGAAGCTATGGAAGTTCTCAGGCAAATGGGTGATTTTAGGTGTAGTCCAGATACTTTATCGTTCAACAATCTGATGAATCAGCTGTGCGATAACGGATTGTTGGCCGAGGCTGAGAAGCTTTACGGTGAAATGGATGAGAAGAAGGTGAAGCCTGATGAGTACACATATGGTCTGTTGATGGATACTTGTTTCAAGGAAGGTAAGATAGACGAAGGAGCTGCGTATTACAAAACGATGGTTGAGTCGAGTCTAAGACCAAACTTGGCAGTGTATAACCGGTTGCAAGATCAGTTGGTTAAATCCGGTAAACTCGACGATGCAAAGTCCTTCTTCGATATGATGGTGAACAAGCTCAAGATGGACGATGAGGCTTATAAATTTATCATGAGGGCGTTAAGTGAAGCTGGGAGACTCGACGAGATGCTTAAGATTGTGGATGAGATGCTGGACGACGAAACGGTCAGAGTGAGTGAGGAATTGCAGGAGTTTGTGAAAGAAGAGCTGAGGAAAGGAGGAAGAGAGGATGATCTGCAGAAACTTATTGATGAGAAAGAGAGATCGAAAGCGGAGGCAAAGGCTAAAGAGTTAGAAGCAGCAGAAGCGAAGAAGAGGAGTACACAAATCAGCATAGCTTCACTAATTCCTCCAAAACAAGGGGAAGAAAAGGAAGAAAAGGAAGAGAAGGTAAAGATGCTTTGGGATAACAATGATGTTGAAGAAGCAAATGTGGTGGAGGCGGAGCCGGGCCGAAGCTCATGAAGCATGTCCTTGGGAGCCCATAAGTTCAAAATATTTGTGAATGGCCGAGGCTTTTTTTTTTTTTTTTTTTAATATCTAGGTCTAAAGTTCGAGTCTATGAAGCTATGATTTCTTTATCATTTTGCTTTAATTGAACAAGTTGGCAAATGTTCTCTCTTTTTTTTAACACTTTTTTCTCCTTGTTTTTCTTTTGAGTCTTTGAGACTGTTTTGTTGTTGTGATATTTTTTTTTAAAACTGAAAATATTTTTAAATAAATGATAAGAGGCCAAATATCAAAATTACTCCATAACAAGATTATATAAGTCACATAATGTGATTATATAAGTATAGTATTGCTTATATTCAATTTTTTTTCTCTTTATAGTATTAAATATATATTTCAAGATACGATGAAATTCCAACTAAATACAAGAAATATCAAAATTCAAAATATCATGATAGAGATCTAAATAACATATTATAAAATTATAAATAAACACATCTATTAATAGCATAAATTATAGTAATGCTTTGTCAAACAAATGTATATTTTTGGCAAGTAAGTGTATTTATCGAAATTGTTTATACTAAATATACATGCTGATTATCAAGCTACGAATTATGGAATGAAAGATTGATTTTTTCTAGTTATTATAAATAAAATTGTCATTAAATTTAAAGCAAACACTAACCTGACATAGAAAAAATTACATAAGTGGAGAAAATTGACATTAGTGGAACAATTATAATTATGTTTTAATTTTTTTTTTGTCAACAATCCTATTGATTAGCTGTAATTTTTATTTTAAAATACAATGCTAAATTTGGTTGAAATATATAAGTTCATCAAATATATGATTAGAGTCTTCGAGTTAATAATTTTTTGGAGGATCTATTTTTTTAAAGATTTAATGATTTATATGGTTTAATAAAGTAGTACAATAATCAAAATTTTACGATCAAACTTAATACACACAAAAAAAGTTTTACTTTTAGCTTTCTAAATCTCAAGACAGGTTCTAGGTAGAGGTAGGAGAAGAAGCAGGTGATTCAAAGAGAGGAAGTAGGTGGATCCAACAGTTCGGTTTGGATCCACATTCCATCTTATTGTCGTTTGCTCGAGTTCATTATAGTTTCTATTTATATTCACTATTTAACCTGATTTGGTTGAGACAATAAGCTTTTGGCAATATTTTTTTTCAAGTTTTATTCTTGTTTCAAATTTTATAGCAAGAATAATCCACTTGATGTGCATATATATGCAACAAGAAATTAAAGATTTGTAACCATTTGAGACAATGATTTGAAGTAGATGGTGAGTGAGATGGTTGGTGAACATTGATTTCCAAACTAGAAACATAGACTAGACTAGAAAGAGAGATGAGTTATATAACAAATTTCCATCATATGTACCCCGAAAAAAAGTCTAGAAATACATAACCGAAAGCTAACCGATCTAAACCAAACCAGTCAACTAAGCTTTCCAGGAACACCTAACGGTTTTTTGGTTATGGAAGCAATTTATCAAAAACTAAAAGACTGGAAGCAAGTTCTTAAAGTCAATATAGGATTCCTTTAGAAGCACATGCATGTTTAGTATGCGGTCTGAGCCAAGAATCGAACAAACTCTTCTTTCTTCTTGCCAAAGTTGAACACAGCCTCTTCACGGAGCACTTGCTCTCGCTTTATGTCCTCCAGCGTTTTATCCTTCTTCCATTTCATCTCTCTCATTTGCTTCTCCGTCTCACTATAATTGTCCATCACACGTGAAGCAATTGGCTTTGCAAATCTTATGTTCACCTCATCACTGAAATTGGCATTGGTTTCAGAACAGTGGAAAACATGAGAAGAAATGAAAACAACCCGAAGAGGGAAATAAAGTTTCCAGGTTACAGAGTTGTGAGAATCTTACCAGCTTCCAAGCGTGAAGATCCCACCTGATCTGATGATTCCTCCATCCAAAGATATAGCACCATCACTTATGCAAGGACGGGCATTGATCATATCAACCCTTGTTTTGTAAACTTGAAGGCGGGAGAAGAGACTGTAGAACAAGGTCTCACGAAGACCATATCCATTTGCTGTGACACAGAGCAAGTAAGCTGGTACGATTTGTATCATGTTCACAGCAAATCCTAGAAACCCAGGAGGATACTCGCCGTTGGGCAATTTCGGCTTCAGAAGATCAAGCCTTCTTTGCGGATCATCAGCTATGTACTGGCCAACATACGGTCTAAAAGGTCACCAAATAAAGGTATTAGAAAAGGATCGCAGATGAAAGAGTATTTAAAACACTTGGAGCTAAACAAGAACAAGTACCTCAGAGTTTCAAGGCAGATGGCATCAAAATGGCCTTCAATGTTTCTGCCAATCGAAGCGCCAAGCCCGTGAAGGCCAGCATTCTTATCAACGTTGCCTTGATTGTCATAACTCTCTAAACCCTTGACACTTTCGTAATCCTTGCATACAAGTGCCAACATCGAGCGAGTCCCTAGATAATCCGACAAAGCCCTGCATTTTCAATGTACCATAAGAGAAACTAATCAGTTTCAGATTAAAAAAACAAACCATACTGTGACAGTGAGGAATGGGACTAACTGGCTCAGGTTTTCATCACTGACTCTCCCCAGTTGCGCTACAACTCCAACGACTCCTTTTGTCAGCGTCAACTGAGAAACCTGCGAGCCATGGCGAGATTGAACAAGACCTAAAACTCCAGCAGCTGAGTTTTCATACCGGAGGATCTGTTCATCGACATCTTCACCCTGATGATTGTCACCAAAGTTTTCGCTTATAGGAGTTGCCGATGATTGAAGTTGGCTCATACGAACTGCAAAAGTAAAGAAAACAAAAAGACCTCACATTCGGAGACTATATTCTCTCACAGAACTCTAAATGAACAAACTTTTTCCTCTGCTAAAACGTAGGAGGAAGCAAAGCTAGAACCTTGCAAATCGAGGATCGATTCATCCAATTTGTTCTTCTGAGACTTGAGGAATAGCAGATTATCCTCGTGCTGTTTGATTTTTCTGCCCATGGCTTCAAGATCAGACTGAAGCCTCCTGGAATTGAACATAGCAAACTCGGCCTGAGACATCCCTCCCCCTTCTCCTCCTCCATTATTCTGGGTTACAACTCTTGGAACTGGTGACGCCATTTCTCTTGGATCCACAAGCATCCTCGTTGGTGGATCTTGAACTGCCGAATGGGAGGTCTGAAACGAAATCTACAATTGGATGCAAAAATCTGATTAAAAAAGTCCATGCCTTTCATAAAACCCTAAATTTCAAATTCGTAAAAATCTGACTGAAATATAAACCCTCTTTTCGCAACTCTCAAATTTGCTTATCTGGTTAACGAGGAAATGAACAAATAAGCAACTGCATTCAAACCAATGAACAAAACGCATCCAATGTAGTCGCATGCAAATTGAAAGAAACAAAATCGACGGAACAAAATTCGAGAAATTTCACCAGAAAGATACAATTACGAGTCTTTTTCTCCAGAATCGCCAGAGAGATTGATCGCATACGAGAGATTACAGTCCGACAAATCTTCTTTTGTTTGCAATTTTCTAGGTAACAAAACTGAAAAATTCTTGAACTAACCTGTTGACCGGTCGGATACATTACTGCTCTGCTTCAATGTTATAATCGGAGAATCTATCTTTCTCACTCTCTTCCTCTCTCTCTCTCTCTCGGTGCTTGATTCGCCTTCTTCTTTGGTCTCACAGAGGTTTTAATGCAAGGTCTTCTACTGGAGATAAAAGCCAAATATTTTTCCTTTCTTTTTGGGCCTAGACACGTCAGCAATTATATTTCAAATTGATTTAATCAGTTTATTTTTAAAAATATACTAGGTAATTTCCCACCCAATATCAAAATTTTACATTTAATTTATTTTCTTCTATTGTGTGAACGTATTTGGTATTTTAAAATTTGACTATGTTTAGAATTCGATAATGATAGTATTTTTACATTCTATTTATTTGATTGTACTAATGAGTTGAATTTTTACATTATATTTGAGTTGGATGTACATTCATTTATTCATTTGATATTGATCTCATTCCATATAAGACTATCATATTTAAGATTCTTTCTTACTCTCTCTCCAATGCAACAAATTGAACTTGTATGGGCTATATTTTTACCTATTTTTGCCTAGTTTAATTAAATCTCAGGGCTCTTTTTTCTCTGAATTGTTATTCTTTGACCAGCTTTATGGTTCTGGTTTGGGTATCAAAAACTTTTCACATCTACTTGTTTGAAGATTGGTTTAAGCATGTGTTCTTCATTTTGGGATACCACAATACACGTTTCTTTCTAGTAACACACATTCTTTCATAACTATCCAATGAACGGAGGATTTTTATTGTATTATCATTTTTTTCATTCTAATTTCGTCTGCAAGGATGTATTTTTGTTGAAGTTAAATTCTTTGATTGAACATTCACAAGAAGAGAAAGTAGATATCGATAAAAAGGAAAAGAAAGAAGAAGAGCAAGCAAGCTCAAAAAGCACAGATCGTGCCTCGTAGAAAGAAGAAGAGAAAAAGCCACAGAAAAGAAGTCAACAAGAGAAAGAAATTTAGGCTACTGAATTAAGTGGGCATATGTTTTCTACTACAGCCCAAGAGTGAACCAGAAATTAGTTTGGTTAAAGCTAACTAAGTTATGTTAGAGTTAGAAGGGATTAGGAGTTGTTAGAGTGGTTAAGAGTTGTTAGAGTTTTTGATGTTTGAAGTAAGATTGCTTGTACAACTAGTCTAGCTTGTATTAGAGGTATGGACTAGGAGAAGTGGTTAAGACTAGAGTCCAAGTGCTAGAGTTGTATCAAGTAGTACAAGTATGTGTGTGTTATGTTTTTGTAGAATGATCTTTTGGATCCCATATATAAAAATGTAGTCTTTAAAGTTTATCTCTCTCTTCTTGTTTTCACTTAGAACAACCAAACAACAATAATGAGTGAAACAGAGAACTAGAGAGAGAGAAGAGAGTGAGAATAGAGAAAATGAAAAAAAACCTGAGTTAGCTAATAAGAGTGAAGAAAGTCAAGAGTGTTCCAACAACAAGGGAGAAGTTCAACAATTTTGCCTTTTTTTGCTAAATGAGTTTGTATTTTTCCTTTAGAAAGCCCATTAAGCTTCGGAAAGGCTGAATGATGAGAGTCGTGAGACATTGACAATGTCAACTTGAAATCCGTCGACACAAAAAAGTCAACTTGAAATCCGACATTTTTCTTCAAATGTCAATACAAACATTCTTTAACTTTTCCAAGTCCATGAGATTCAATGATTCATTTTGTGTTCTTTGTATAAATACTGTACAAACCTCAAAACGACTGAAATGATCCAATTGCATAAATAATAAAATAAGAGATGTCAATTACCATAAATATGAAGAAAAATAAGTACAATATAGCATATCTCGAAGGATTGTTTTGTTTAAGCCTTTTTATTATTATTAATACAGATCTCATATCTCTACCATTCTCGTGATCTACTGATCTAATCTCACAGTATTTGGTGCATAAAAAACTTTATAGCTATTCGTGTGTGTGTGTGTGTGAGAGAGACTCAATGAGTAGTGAAATCGAAAGGTGGTCCAACTTGGAGGTGGTGTTGGTCTTGGGTCCGCCTAAAGAAGTTAGGTCGTCGTTATAAAAACAACTTCACATTGTCATTTTTGTTTTATTCCATTCTTATTTAATTGACATCTACAAAACTAAAATACGTACTAACGGCGTCATTTGATATTACAGTCCATTGAAATATCAAATTTTGCAATTCATCAACCAATTTATAGATTACACTCCAATGGGAAATAATTTTTTTTTAATTTTTCATTCGTACTCAAAAACAATTCCAATAGATCTAAGTTCATATCACCCAATTGTAATAAAACAATCCGTAAATTTATGTATCAATGCAAACAATATGGGACCAGCATATACATTTTTAGTATTGCTAATAAAACACTCATAATCTCACAAACCTATATGATAAAGGAAAAAAGTATTTAAGCATGAGAATATCATATCTAGTCTTCTAGATACAATTCTTTTTACCAACAACATACAAATTAATTTTACCAAAAACATACAATATAATTTAAAATATTTTTCGAATGTGATCAAGCTAGGCTAATATATCTTACGAAATGTACAATTCTTTTTCTAATTATTCTGAGGATTAGCCAGTTCTGAAGCTTTTCTCTGATAACTATAAAAATATATTTACGTCGAAGTATACATCTTCTTATCAGAAATATGTATATATGGAATTAGGTCCATACAAGTCCACAGAGTTACGAAAAGTCAAATATTATTTTATATATTAATGATGGGCTCACTTGTCTTCTTTCTCTTTGTTTTCGATCATCACAAATGTCAGAAGACTTAATAATACCCAAAAAAGGTGATTGGCGTTAAAAATAAAATCTCAAAGAAAAAGACAAAAGTAGAAAACCTCGTGAACTTCGTAAAAACACTTAACGGCGTTTAACCGAACCCCACGTGACTCCGTTAATGATTTCATTATCGGTGGTGAAATGACGCCTCTTCCTTCTCAACTTAACTCTGTGTTACTTCTCTCTCTCTCTCACACCTCCCATCTTTCTCTCATTCTCTGTCCCCCTCTCTCTCTCTCTCAAAACTTCAAAAATAGCTTCAATGGTTTGATCACATCGCACAAACATGTAAGTTCACATATATACATTTATGTCTAATTTTTGTATACTGATTGCATGATGAGATATATGGCAATGTTATATATAAACGCATGTATATTACAATGTGTTTTAAGGCATGTCTATTTACTCATTTTGATACATTCTGGTTTTGGCTACGTTTGGAATTGATTTTGCAATGTCAAATTTAAAGCCATTTTTTGGGAACTTTGATTATAAGTACTTTTAATATAATTGTTCAGTATTAATAGAGCTTATGATCACAGAGTTTTGCTGGAAATGGGGAAGAAAGGAAGTACTGGGTGGTTCTCAACGGTGAAGAAGAAAGTCTTTAAATCCTCTCCTAAAGATTCAAAGGTAATTACAACATCATTACTATGTGTATTTTAAACATATTACGGAAAATTAGAATTTTAGGTGGGTAACTTAGAGTATTGGGATCTAAATTTTTAATATAGAACATTAAAGTCATTTTACCCAAAAAGAAAGAAAGAAAGAATTGATACATAAAGTTTTAATTAGTTTAGCAGTAAATAACAAACGTAACTTCAAGAATAAGATATACTATAATGAGCCCATAACTATTTCTTAACTAATAAGCAATTTTGGTTTAATGTCTCTTTCTTCTTAAATTAAGCAATATTGATATTACTGGTTGGCCAAAAAATATCACTTTTTTTTTTCCTCAAATATCACTTTTTATTAGAGTTTTTATACTTTTCTCAACTCAGTTTTATCAACCTGTGAAAGTCTGCAAAACAAATTAACTCACTACATTGTACTATCGATCGAGAGAGAGAGAGAGAGAGAGAGAGAGAGAGAGAATTCAGTTAATCTTTTTGCAAATTAAACTTTGTTGTTTCCTTATGTTTGCGCTATTTAATGAGTGTCCGTAAGATATATTTATGTTTTAGCTTAAAAAGGGGGAAAATAATATGACCGTTTAACTTATAAATGCATGACAAGTTGAGTTACAGAAATTAATGTATCTATATATATATTTATGAATAAAAAGCCGAAAAAGATTGGTCCCCTTCTGAAAGAGATGGACTATAAGAGCACCTTATAAGAGCACTGAAATATGATTTTCATGACACCTAAAAAGATCTTTTATCTTCTCCCAAATTTCATGTGCATTGCTTTGTTCCCTCGCCATCACTCCACCCATTTATTTCCCCACCTATAGATATATCTTTATTCATGTCAACTTGTATCTATAGAGTATAGATCGGCATATCTTAACATGACTATAGTATATGTCCTTTTTTTTACCAGTATCCAAAGTTTAGCCCCACTATTTTTGTCAATTTCTATTTATTTTGGATCTCAACTGATCTAATTCCTTATTGATTCTCTGTGATCTTGTGAAAAAAATTGGACTAATATTACCTTTGATAACTAAATATGCGTTTAATAAGTTGACAACATAAAAATGCGTTTAATAAAATTGGATTATAGTTTGCGACTAACAATGACAATATATCATTATATATATAGACTAGCTTCTACATTTTTAGTTTGAATTCGTCTTTTATCAAATTAGATTATAATATAACATAAAAGTCACCATGCACAAAACGAAATACTAGCTAGTGGTAGCAGTAATGATAGTAAAAAAAAAGCTACACACTTTCAAGTATAAAATATAGAACGAAAAGGAAGTAATCATAAACGAACAAACTTGTGTAAAGATAGAAATATTTAAAATGATAATTACTATTTGTAGAGAGAGAGCAACGTTAGCAACAACGACGCCGATAGGTGGCAGCAGCAACACGACACGCAAGAAGTCGTATCTTTTGAAAATTTCCCGGCGGAAAGTTCGCCGGAGATCTCACATGACGTCGAGAGCACAGCTTCTACTCCGGCAACCAACGTTGGAGAGAGAAAACACGCCATGGCTGTGGCTATAGCCACGGCAGCTGCTGCCGAAGCAGCCGTTGCAGCCGCACAAGCTGCTGCTAAAGTCGTTCGGCTTGCAGGCTACAACCACCGGACGGAGGAAGATAGTGCCGCCGTGCTCATCCAATCACACTACAGGGGCTATCTGGTAATTTTCGACCCTTAAATATTACTCCTATTTGTTTGGTTAACAAATTTTATCTACCACTTAATCACAAACTTTTACCGGTTATCTTTACCTCTAATATCGAAATGCATTTAGGTTAGAATCCGGTACAACTAAATTCAGTTTGAGTACTGTCGTTAAACTGGTATTAAAGAAATTTAGAGTTTAGTATACAAATTATTGACTGGCGGCATAGTTCTTTTATTTCATTTTCTATTATATATAGATGTAGTTGTAAGCTAATGCGAAACCAGAAATCTTAAGTAGTCCGGTTTACCCAAAATAATGGCCGGTTTGAAATTCGTGGTTTTGTTCTTCTCTTTTGTAGGCAAGACGAGCACTGCGTGCCTTGAAAGGACTAGTAAGGCTTCAAGCATTAGTCCGTGGCAACCACGTACGAAAACAGGCACAGATGACTATGAAATGTATGCAAGCTCTGGTTCGTGTCCAAGGCCGAGTTAGAGCAAGAAGGCTCCAAGTGGCCAATGACCGGTTTAAGAAACAAATTGAGGAAGAAGAGAAGCGGTCTGGGATGGAAAAACCGAACAAACGTACGTACATACCGTATTGAAAAGATATTCAGTACAAATTATAATGGCATGGTGAACATAGTATTTGTATGGCTTTGTAGGGTTTGCGAATCTCCAAACCGATCGAGAGAAAACGAAAAAATTGCACGAAGTGAACCGAACCAGCGTATACCAAACTCCAGGAAATGTAATGTGGAAAAATCTTACGTACTACTATGTTCCACTGTTAGTATTCTCTTAGATGAAATGACAAAGTATTAGTTCACTGTAAATTTTAATATACAGGAAAAAGAGAGGAGTGAGGGAATGATGAAAAGAGAGAGGGCTCTTGCTTATGCGTACACCTACCAGGTTGGTCATGTCTCTTTTTCCTAAAGACTTTTTCTCCCAAAATAGGTTTTTATTCGTTAAAAAATTTAATATGGAAATTATTGTTACACATGAAAATTTGAAATTTGAAATCTATGTATTAGTTACTTATACTTGACATCATTCCTTATGATTGATTACTGTTTTCATATTGAAGCGGCAAATGCAACACACAAATGATGATGATGCAATTGGATTTTCTGTTAATGGGCCTGATAGACCCCAATGGGCTTGGAATTGGCTTGACCATTGGATGTCTACACAACCATACACAGGCCGTCAAACCAACCCTGGACAATATAATCCTCCTCCATATCCACCTTTCCCCACGGCCGTGGCGACCACAGCTGGTACAACCACACCTGATGAAGTATCGGAGAAGACGGTGGAAATGGACGTGACCACTCCGACTAGCCTCAAGGACAAGATAATCGGTATGATTGATCGAGAGTATATAGACTTAGGATCATATAGACAAGCCCATAAGCAACGTAAAAGCCCAACCCATATACCGAGCTATATGGCTCCAACTGCATCTGCAAAGGCTAAAGTTCGTGACCAAGGCACGACCGTGAAGCTTCAAGGAACATCTTTTATGCCGTATTGGAACTCCTCCACCAAAAACGGTTCTATTAACGGATCGGGTTGTGATTCATCAAGTTCCGGTGGAGCAGTAACAAGTAGTTATCCCGGTCCTAGGAGTCCTAACCCAAAAATGGATATTCGACGTAAACCGGTTAGTCCTAGTCAAAGTCCTACCGGGTTTGGGAAGAGAAGCTGGAGACATGATCACTAGAAGAAGTATTTTAATCTCTTTCTTTTTTTGTTGGTTTCTTGAATAAAAACTTACATTTGTGTGGTTGGTTAATTATCTTGTTTGAATATATCTTCTTTGTTACATCCACTAATTGTATATGACATTAATAAGTGAATATATATGTATGTACTCTCGAGTTTTTTGTGTGTCACGGTCTACTTTGATTTCCTTGAATAGGGCTTGGTCTGGTTAAACCGATCCACCAGAAGTATATAAACCAACAAATTAAGCTCAATATAAACATTTTGGAATGAGTTTTGCTAAAGATCAAGTTCTTTGTCGGCTATACTTACAGTCGAAACATGGAAACATTCCAAGCCGAAACTGCACAGGTAACAGAGTACACAATCACTTTTACTTTTAAAAAGAAAACAACAAAAAGAAATAAAGGGAAATTTAGAAAAGAGATAGCTCATGGATATCTTGCAAACTATTTTGGTAGATGTACCTTTCCATGTGTTCTAAAAAATATTTTGTCTCCACACCGACAATGGTAGTAAACGTAAACTGGTCGAGAAAAATAATAGTTGGGAAGAATTTGAACCATCAAATCATTAGGTAGCTTGATAGTATTGGATTCCGTATATCAAGAGAACTTTTCCCAACCAGTTTGGTTCAGAAGTCTCAGTAGAGGGTTGAATAACTTGAACCTGTGGTAAGATGATGCTCCAAACTGTAAGGTGGTCGTTCAATTTTTTTTAAGATTATGAAAAACCAACAACCCAAACTTCTGCTTCGTCCTTGTCTTTACCAAAACATTATCACCAAAGTCAATATGAATATCCATTCTCTAAGTACAGTTCGACAATTGACAAATTAAAGCTATTTACTCGTTAAGATATTAGAGAACAACTCACCACATGTAGTCATTCGATGTTTCTGCACAACCTACACTGAGAACTGAGAAGAAGAAACAACAAATCACCATGGGGTTTTCGAACTAAAAAATAATATATCACGAGAAATCATAGCTTGGGAACACTATACAAGATAAAAGTATCTGGAGTGACAACACTAATAAATGATCCTTGATGTGGCCAGCAACCCTGGTATCCCAACAACAACTGTTGTTACTTTTAAGCTTAATGCATTCATCAAACCTTTAAAAAAATCCACTTGAGCAACATAAAAGTTCAACACAAACCATCTGTGATTAATGAATGGTAGATGCATGGTTGCGAAATAAAATCAACAGTAAACAATTCAAGAACGTGATTGATAAGCAACAGAACATAGCGTGTCACACCCAAGCAACATGATCAACACCATTGAGACATCCTAGAGAAAACAAGTTGAGCTTTCAAACACAAGGTTATCAATGAATATGAACTAATGTTCCTTTATCCATCATTTTCATATGACATGTATATCAAACAACCTGAGCTTTCAAACACAAGGTTATCACTTATCAGATAACTCAAACAAAAGTTAATCACCAAGTAGGAAGAAAGAACTAATTTCACCGGGTATTATCAAATTTCTATTACATTGAAATCAAAATTCTGGCCAATAGGCCCATTCACAAGAAAAACAAAAACTCTATGCTATATTGATGAAAAATTATCTAGGAAAAAGTAAATATATGAGACATAACATGTAAGGAAGAGGATCTATAAGACCGAAAAAGCAAATCTCATTCTGCTGCACCTTTTGTGGTTTCTCAGTCGTCAATTTACAAAATCATGTATCATCACCCTGGGCAAAGATCCCAAATCATGCATAGTTCATTAGGTTTTTCTGTCATAATCTGTCAGGATAATAAACAATGAACTAATTGACTAGAAAAATTTAACCCATCTCGTTTCTGAGCACCACCATTTTTTCTTAACCCGACGTTGATAACTAGGCACAAAAAACTATCTGTCAGCCATTAGAATAAAGGCTTTGTGAGTATTTTTTTCAAGCTTCGTCACATAATCATATTTTGACAAGTTAATGAGTCCTTCTGTTTTATGATTGGGCTCGTCTCCAATCTGAAACCTCGGAAGATACAACTCTAATACTTTGAACCATATCAAAATCATATATCCAGATGTGATAATTCATATCTTCCTTCCTGGATTCACAAAAGACAAACAAAAAAAAGACTTGAAAGCAAAATAGGTCATGAGATTTTTAAAAGGCTATAAGCAAGTTAGCAACAAAGCGGAACCAATGAACATTTGAGTTAATATGGGATATGTCAATTCCACCACTTTTTCTTTCCCTTATCCTGTCCATTAAAAATAATTAACACAAAAGATATAATTTTCACCAACGACCAATTTTTAAAACTCTGATACCATAATTGGATTTAGAAAGAACTGATAGATGTTTTTTTATATATAAAAATGATACTTTATTAATTAGAAAGTGAATGTAAATCTTTGTATTTATATACAACTATAGTCAGCTATCAATCTAATATATTTACCAATATAGTCCGCTAGATACAAATAATTATTTATAACAATGGTTCAACCGTTACACTATTTCTAAATTGAGTCAACAACAATCATTATGATAATTAAATGCAATTAGCATCGACACCAATCACTAAACTCTTAGACAATTTTTTAAGTGGCTTTTAGAATTTTATCATATTTAATTACTTTAACTAGGAGAAAACCTGCGTATATACGCGCGTCTTGTTTTAATATATATTTAAATATTATATTTTAAAAATTTGTTTGAATTTTATGTTTATTATCAATGTTTTTGCGTTTAAAATATTTATATTTTCCTTAATTTCTTTTTGATGATACATTATTTGTAATCTCTTCTACACCGGTTGTGCCAAATAGTCTAATTTTTCTTCCAAAATAATAAGGGATTAAAAATAAACTATTTTAAATTTTGTATGAAAACGTAATAACTCACTTATAAATATACGTTTAATATCAGAGAGGAATATTTTTTTGTTTTTCGATCTTCATATTCTTTTTATTCTTGTAAATCTTACTAATATAATACTTGTTAAATTCTTCAATTTACCATTTTGAATTTTTTAGTTATATATATTTTATTGATTCTATTTTTTAATTTAAATTCATGTATGACATTTTTACGTGCACATCTTTCTTTATACTAATTTTTTTTTAATAATTGTTATCTCTTTAATCGTTTATTAAATATTTTTGTGTGTTTTTAATTTATTAGTTGAAGTTTTATATAAGAATATTTGAAACTTCGTAATTTATTCAGTCTTAATTTTTTTTATTTGCATTAAAATTTAATATATTTTTAGTTTGAAAATGAAATTTAAATCATTTGAAAGAAGAAAATAGAATAGTGCATCTAAAAAATCTTGTATTATATAAAATTTATAAGTTTTTCTATATTTAAATTAAATTTGAATTGCATTCTAATGTATATATATATATTAATCTTTATTTATGTTTTTAATGTGTTTTGCTTTAAATTTAATTAATTATTTATTTTATCAATTTTTGGATGTGCCACATATCACTCTCTCCATTGCTGATGTGTCACTCAGCTAGAGAGAGTTGATTGTCTTTTATATATAAGATTCAAGATTAGAAAATAAATATTTTGTCTAAATTTGTATTAAAATAAAAAAATGACACTCTTTATGTAACAAAAAAGTGTCAAAATTATACTCTCTTTAAAAAGAGTAATTATGAGAAGATTCTAAAAATAGATATTCGAAGTAAACCGGTTTGAGGATATTAGATTGAAAATTAAAAAAAAAGGTAAATTAAAATATGTGACTCAAAGTTTGAATGTCTAAATTAAAATAATGCAACCGAAAGAAAAATGAATCCCATATTTAATTGGTTGCACCAAAAAATTTGTTGGTGGTAGGAAATAATTGATGATATAACTTTGGGGAGCAAAAAATGATGATCAGCCATTCTAAAAACTTCTCAGTAAAAGAAGAATGACACAGAGGAAAACATTCATGGAATTATATAGTTTTAATTAGATAATATATTAAACAATTCCATTGTTGTCCAGAGACGTGCTTCCCTAAAATCATTGTGTATGCTCTTCATTTTGTTTGCTCCTTTTTTTTCATTAAAATTAATTCGTTAAAAATTTACATGAAATTGTTTTTTTTTTTTTTGGTTTTAAACATGAAATTGTTATCTTTGAAGCACGCACGACATGATCATAAGCTTGTTACTTACATAGAAACTCATACGTATTTCGTTAACAAAAACAACAGAAAATTATCATGTCTTCATCATTCATGTATATCGTTTTGTTTAAGCTTTGATTCATTAATTTTAAGGAGAAGTAAAAAAACGGAGTACATGTATTTACTGTTTTTTATATATATATAAGTTATATATATATTTAACGTTTGGTCTGACTTTTAAGAATAAATCCCGGTCTAACATTTGTCTAACATTTAAACTAAAATAGTTTTTTTTCTTTCTAGTTACTTTTTTGTTGATTTTTATTCTTTTTTTTTTAAAGTTACATTTAAACTTACATATGTATGCTTGATATTATATATATATTTTTTACGTTTTATACCTATATAACTTCTAGATCATACCTTTTTTGTGACGATAATTATTTAAATATTGTGAACTTCATTCGTGTTTTGTAAGTGACAAGAAAATTTATTATAACAAAATGTGATACCTTTATTTTGATATATTTTTGCAAATCTTTTTTCATTAACTTTTTTAAAAGTTCATTTTCGATCGGTAAAATGAAATCTATGGCAATAAAGGAAATAAAAAAACCAATCGAGAGAATAAAAGCCACTCCCTTCAGCTTTCTCTGTGTTATTACTGTCTTCCAAATTTCATTGATTCAAACGAATTGAATCTTTCCTTCGAGCAAAACACCAGCGAGGAACAAGAGTGAGAAGGTTAGGTTAAGTAATCACATTTTGTAGGTTTGATTCCACTCTCATCATCTTAAATTTTGGTTGCAATTAGGAAAGGTCGAAACTTTTTGGCAGAGTGATTTTCTTTTTCATTTTCAAGAAAGTTATCGACTTCCTTAGGGTTTAACTTGTGAATTCGAGTTTGGTTATGCCAGTTCTACTCTCATGGTTTAAGAGTTAAAGCTTTTTTAGTGTTCTTGAGGGTTTCTGGGTTTTAGTGTTTTTTGTTCTAAAAAAGTTTAGGACTTAACTTGACCTGGGTTTTGCTTGCCTGTTTATCTGCTATGATAAAAAATTGTAGTTCTCTAATGTTCTTGAGGTGCTCATGGTAAATTAGACGATATTGTCTGAAGTATTATTGATCTGTGGTTGTTGAAAATTGTATTACTGAATTTCAAAAATTATTCCCTTTCTCATAAACAAAAACAATTGCACCTTCTCCCAGAGTTTCCCTTTTTCTTTTTGTGTTGTTTAATCCATAGTTTCCTTCTTGGGAATTTTTTATAAAAGTTCTATTAGAGTTAGAAGAGTAGTAATAAAAGATTATCTATCTGCTTCAGATCAAATTCTAAGTTGCTTTAGAGAGCTATGGATTCTACTTTTCTCTGTTTTTTCTATTATCAGATTAGAGATATGGATCAAAGTAAAAGTTTTGTTTTTGAAGATGGTAACAACTTCTGCGCAACAGAGTTTATTTGTTCCTAGAGATTCTATCTCAGAAGATCTACCCTCTTCTTGAAAAGAAATTCAATCTAAGGTTGAACATCACTATCCTTATTGATTGCTGTTATCCTACAGTTTGAAGATTACTCTCTCCTTATTAAGAATAGATTGGTTTGATCTTCTTTCATCGTCTGAGAATAGCAATTTGAACAAGATCGTCATCTTTTATGCTCATACTGTATGCTAAGTGTTCTTGGATAATCTAGAAAGAAATAGCTATACAGAACGAGGGTTTATCTATCTTCATTCTTGGTTATATCTTTTTTTTCCACAGTGACAAGGAAAACAAGGTTGAGAGATTCCACTGTCCCTTTCTTGAAGGAGAAAAGAAGATTGCGGCGGCTACAATGCCCGAGTCTCAAGAAGCATCGAATTACGATGAGGTCTCTATGCAGCAAAGCATGCTCTTCTCTGATGGTCTTAAGGTAGATTCTGTATTTGCATATATTTTGCTCTATCGACCACAGATATTTTGTAGCATTCATTCTATGCGATAGATCAGTGAAATGATAATTGTCTCTGCGATTGAAGATCTAAGCATCAGTTAAAATTTTCATTCATATCTCGTTTTTCAAATCCGTGAATGTTAATATGGGAAATGCTCTCTGTTTTTATTCTTTTGTTCTCAGGACTTGAGGAATTTGCGAACGCAGTTGTATTCAGCAGCTGAGTATTTCGAACTATCTTACACAACCGACGACAAGAGGCAAATGTGAGTTACAGTACTCAGCAGTGCTTAAGGCTAATTGTGTCATAAAAACTGTTCCTTTTTTCTCAATACAAATTGTTTTTCCGAGTTAAATGCAGAGTTGTAGAGACACTGAAAGATTACGCGGTGAAGGCTCTGGTTAATACAGTTGACCATTTAGGCTCTATTACGTATAAAGTAAACGACTTTATCGATGAAAAGGTCGATGTAGTATCAGAGACCGAACTAAGAGTATCTTGCATTGAACAGGTACATAAAAGTTCCTCACCAAAGCTGTCTTTATGTGTAAAGGTCCTTACTTTAGGTTCTTGTTCAGCTTACTGATTTGTTTTCTTCTTTTCGTGTTTATGTCGTGATATAAACAATGGGGATGGTGGTTTAGAGGCTAAGGATGTGCCAAGAGTATATGGATCATGAAGGGCGTTCACAGCAATCGCTTGTTATTGACACTCCAAAGTTCCATAAACGATACATCTTACCCGGTAAATTCTCTCTTTCTCTCTGTCGCACTCGAGTTAGAAGTTTCCGAGACTCACGAGCTAAAGCTGCACTTCTTTATCAGCGGGTGAAATTATGACTGCTACCAATCTTGAAAAAGTTAAGTACTTTGGAAGCAGTTTGGAAGATTCAGATGATTGGAACCAATTCAAAAATGGTAATTTAATATTATCCTATGTTTCTTAGTCGTGTACAATCCAAGATTCAAGATTTCATTCCCTAACCTGGATTCTTGATTTGGTTTTTGGTTGGTCTCACTCTCTTAAAGCTGTGCGTGCTACAATCCGAGAAACACCTCCACCACCTGCTAGGTAAATACTCCTTGCCAAAACAAGTTTTGAAACCAGATGACTTTTAAACTTGCGTTACAATCTAATTCCCTTTTGTAGAAAATCAACATCTCATACTCCACCTCCACGGAAACCACCTCAACGATCAGCAACCTTTTCGTTTACGTCCACCATGCCAAAGAAAGAGCAAGGTGAGTAGTTTGGTGTTTTCGTTGAACTTATAGAGTCTTAAAAAACCGATCTTTTTGACATGTTTTTGTGTGATTTGTAATCAGATAAGAGATCAGTTTCACCACATCGGTTTCCGCTGCTAAGATCAGGATCAGTCGCTACTCGGAAATCAGCATCAATCAGCCGGCCAACTACACCAAGCAAGAGCAGAGCTATTACTCCTATACGGGTAAAAAAGCAACCAAAAAAGGATTTTGTTTCATCAAAAATTTTGTCTTCTTGAATTGATTCTTCTTCTTTTGCATGTTATTTTTTTCCAGTACCCATCAGAACCAAGAAGATCGGCTTCGGTTCGGGTTGCGTGCGAGAAAGAAAACCAGAAAGAAACAGAGCAACAACAACCTAGCAAGAGCAAACGACTGCTCAAGGCTTTGCTTAGTCGACGGAAAACCAAGAAAGACGACACTCTTTACACTTTCTTGGACGAATACTGAAATACAATTATCGGTTTAATTGTGGAAGCGGGTTTACTTAACCGGATGATTGACAAGTTCCTTCTTTTTTCCAAGATCTTTATCAAAAAATTAAAAAATATCATATAATAGAGAAAATTATATCTATTTATATTTTGTTGTTGCGAAAAAAAATCGATGATGTAAACCGAACTCTATACTATTAAATGTGAATGCGATACAGCAATTTTGTTTTTTTTTTTTTTGTTAGCTTGAACGAACTTGACACAAAATTAAGGTCGGTTATTTCGGGGTTTACACGGTTTTTTATTTTTATCCTCCCTTGCGAAACTTCACCGGTAAATAGTAGAACAACTCAACGAAAAAAAATTCAAACCGGACTGTAAAAAGTTGAGCCGGTGCCAAAATGGCCAAGAACTGGTGATGGTACATTGGTTATGCTGACTCTGAGCCATTAATAGATGTTGCATTGCATCAATTATAGTTTTATTTTCAGCGTATTAAAATCGAGCTAAAAGTAAAAACCGTAGAAATCACAGGACAAGTAGTAGATAATATTTGATCGAATCACGAACATCATAGATTACTGGATTGATAAACTTTTGACACTCTAGTCATGGATATATAACTAGAGTGTATGTAATGTATTACTTCGACCAAAAAAAAAATGAAAGAGAAGGATGTAATGTATTGATCCAATATTACATAGATGTTGTTTTTGTGTTTTTTTCTTTTCCATACATAGATTTTTTTGTTTCTTCTAAATTAAGGGTTCCTCTGTTGGGCCGAAATTATTGAGCCCATTAAGAGTGAATATTTTTGGTTCTACATCCTCATCATATCATGGGACGCGGAGGACGTCCAGGTCTGGCACGATGCCCACCAGGTACGTTGGGACCTACTGGTGGATAGTCCATCAGGTTCTCAATACTGTCTACAACCTTTACATATTTTTGCACGTTAAGCTTCTCAATACTGTCTAATACTCTTATTAATAAAAATATTAAATTAAGCAGATTTTCTTTTAGTGCTTACATTGTCTGAGGAATAATGATCAGTATGAGTAACTCCACGGTCCTCCTCAAACCCTAAGGAACAAAAAAAAATACATATGAATATAAGGTGTATATTATTAATATATCGATTGATGAGATAACGTAAATCATATTTAATCGGTTTAAAAATCCAAATAACATATGAGTTTTGATTTGTGATTACCTAGAGAACACAATGGTGACAAAAGCAAGAACGTGATGAAAACCACCAACTTCATCCTTGTAGATGCGAGAGTCCCTTTTGTGACTCGGTTTGAAAGAATATGAAATTGGAACTATATTTTGTTTAATTATACGTAAGTATGTTTTGTTTATGGAGGTCTTTGTCAAGGAGAAGATATCCTATTTATACCCTCCTAATGTGCCATACATAACCATAATTAGTTTAAAAATTTCATTAACAAATTAATTTTGAGACTTTGACCATTCATATTTAATACAATCCAAATCAAATCAAAGATTTTGTTTGAATATTAGTATAAAGACACGTAAGATATTTGTAATACAGTAAATCATTATTTCCAAGAAACTGTTGAATCATAATTAGAAAAGAATAATCAGATTAATTAGAAAATATTGACTAGCTTTCTATCATCAAAATTCCTCTTGGATTGTTTTTATGTTCTCTTCTTATCAAAAAATCTTAAAAATGATCTTTACTAGTCAATCTTTTCTGTTTTTTGTTCTAAATCAATCAAAACTTTCCTCTTACAACTTACTGCATAGCTTAAATAAGAAATAGAAATCAATATCCTAGACTACGAAGAAACAAAAGCAATTTAAGCATTTTAAAACTCCCCAAAGAGATAAAGTCCGAAGGAAAAACGTACACATGCTCACAGAAGAACTAGAGATATATTCGTTGGAGAAACTCACGTTGCATCATTCGTGAATCGTGTATCATATAATTTGTAGATTGTAACTGAGCATATATGTATGGAATTTGGACAAATAAAACCCTTAAAATTTATGTGTTATCTACGTATACGTTGCACTAGTGACATTCCCGGTCACTACAAACGTTGGATATATTGGATGTTTGAATACTTACAACGTTAAGCCCCTTGAATATTTGATTACTTCCATCTTTCTAACATTTTTTTTAAAAAAAATTTACATTGAGGTTAGGGTTATACAAAATGATGTGTGGGGGAAATTCATGTTGACATTCATTGTAATTATAAAATATCCGCTCTCCTTTAGATATATATCTGTTCTCTACAACATGGCCGGATTTGGGCCAAGCCTATTGAAACATTTGTTTTAAATCCCCAAATTTTTTTGTCCAATTTAGCCGATATTTTTTTTTTAAAATTTTTTTTTTTTTATAAAACCAATTAGGCTTTTTGTTTGAAGTACCCAAAATCTCAGATCCGGCCCTGTCTACAAAAAGAGCCCTAGCTTCTCCTTTTACGTTCCATTTCACGTTTCACTTCTTACGATCTTCTGCACATTGATTCAACAAATAGATAGATCAAACCTTCAAAGATCTGGAAGAAGTCCAGTTTTCGTTTGATTACTGGATCATACGGATTTGGTTCTGGTTCAGCACTTTTATGATTGGAATATAATTTGGTTTCATGCGATCTATTTCTATTTGATTTGGGATAGGGATCCAATCCAGTTAAACCGGTCCAAATGGAACAAAAAACGATTAACAGTTTCCAAACCGAAAACAAACCAAATGGTGTTTGATTTTCTTTTGGTTTCTATACCAAAAAAATCCGAAAATCGGATTGGACACACCTAATTGAGGTCGAATTTGAGCCAGGTGTTAACCGGCTCAGTTCATTTCCTCACGTAGTTCTGATACAAACCTATCTTGATTCTTGAACCAGCCAGAACCATAACAAACGAACTAAAAATCCTGAAGAGATTCGGTGTGCGAAGCAACTGTTCTAAATCAAAAATTGAAGAGAAGAGTAAACAAAATTACGAGGTATATGACTGTTATTGTAAAATGTGAATGCGACTTTTAGAATTTTGTTTTTTGAAATGGAACCAAACCCAACACAAAATTTGAAGGATCCAACACATATAATACGCTACACTCGCCAAACAAAACCGGTGAATAGTAGGAACCAAACCAAGAAAAACTAAACCGGACTCAGAGCCGACCCCGGTTACCTCAAGAGAAGAATTCACATGATATGATCATCTCGAAAACTGAAAAAGATGGGGAGCTTTCTTGCTAAGTTGTAATCTTGCCATCTTTGGGGTGTCAAACGAAAAACAACAGTTTGTGACTGTCTTGTCCAGTCAATTACTGAAAGATAATTACCATATTGGTAGACATTGTATCATCAATGCTTTTGTCAAGTGTTTTCAAACCAAAGTTATAGTAAGAATAAGATGCGTAATATTTCCGATCAAGTGATTATTAGTTCAGTAGATCAAAAAATTTTCGAGTCAAAAGTTTACTCTATTGGTAATTTATCTTATAAAAAGTAATCACGGATGAATATAGATGACCAATTCTTTGACTAATTAATTATATTTTACTTTTTTGTATTGTTGACCTATCTAATTATAGTTTAGTTAGATAATAAAAAAACCAACTCATAATAGTATTTTACTTTATTTAGATGATTAGTTTGATAGTACATATCATAATCATAAAGATGGAATGATCCAATGTAGTGATATTACATATTTTTGCTTTCAGTTCTGCGGCGGCGGTGGCGGAGATTTTGTTGGGTCATGTCTTGGATTTGGGCATGGGTCCGGATAATCCATAATCACCGGATTAGTCTCTTCAACCTACAGTTTATTACATGCCTGATCATCAACAATTACTCTTTTTTCCTTTTTTTGAAAGAAATCACAACAATGATTATTCTATTGAATTTTTAAACTGGATATAAATATTATCTTTAATCAATGATAATATGGGAGAAGATAAAAATCTGTGAAAAATAAGCATTTTATTTTGTCAGATTGTCTACCTTGTTTAAGGAATATTGGTCAGTATGAGCAACTCCATGATCCTCCTCAAACCCTATAAACAAATATCGGATTTCATATGTGTAATTATTTATTAATAGTAAAATCCTTATCGTGGTGTGAAATCCGTAACCATCAAACTGAGGCGTTGAATGGTAACAAAAACATGAAGAGGAGGAATAATGAGTCTCTCTTTAATCCTGAAAAAAATATATGTACAGATGATTCCTTTTTATTCTTTATTTATTTTTGAAGGGAAAAATAAAACAAAAATATATCTTATCAAATTTGAGGAAAAAAATAAAGCAATTTTTTTTTTCATTCTTTTCTGTCTTATTTTTATTGTTTCTCTAATAGTCACCATTCAGAACCTAGATCTCGATGTTAAAATGTTAAATATCTACAAAACGTTTTCGAATATCAAATGACTTTTTCTTACATCTTAAATATGTCATACAACTGTAATACTGTATTTTGGGTACGCTGTAATTTACACTACTGTATACACAAATTTAACTACCTGAAGAGCACAATGGAAGCAGAAGCAAGAACGACATGAGAATCACCAACTTCATCTTTCAAAGTTGTTTTTTTTCCTGATAACACAAGAGAAATAATTTTGTTGTTGTCTGAAACCAACGCATGCATCTATATATACGCAGGTATGAGGTATCCCGCGTAGTTATCCGTTGGGAAGATAAATGTGTTGGCATTTGGCAAAGCTATATTCACCATTATGTATTTGCAAATTATGTGTCTTTTAATGCATCTACTTTTTTGTTGACCTCATTAAGCATATTTATTAAAGCCTTTTAACCAAAAAAACATATTCAAGGTGGCCTTATTTGGGCAACTTGAATAAGTATTTCTTCTTCCATATGTCAGGTGTCTCTTAATTATTACACCTTGAATTTCTTCATGAACATAAATTCTACTCCCCGTGAGTTCTTTTGGTCAAAGTTTTCATCTTTTTAGGTTTTACAGACAAGTAACATATTCAAACGCTTGTATGAATGAAAAGACTACAAGAGTAGAGTATTAAACGAACTAAGACAAAATGATACCAGGGCATCTCACAAAAGAAATTCAAAACCAAAGCAAAGCAAAGCAGAGAAAGAGATTAATTACTGAGGCTCAAAAAGGGAAACGAACTTGCACAAAATTATGCTTAGGATATTCATGTTCATATCCGTTGTGATCATAATTATTAATCGCTCTCCTTTTGAAATTGTAATCAACATTTTTTTGTTGGCTGTAATAAACAACGACAAACAACTGAAAAAGCATTAAACATGCGCAACGAGTGGATCAATTTCTAGTACTGTGTATATAGTGAACAAGAAATTCGCAAACTTTCACAACCCAAAATTACGTAAAACTATAAGATTTAATTGATAATTGTGCGTAACTGGTTATATAGAGTTACATACCTATCAAATAATCAACATCACTATGTAAAAATCTAAGAGCAAAACAATACCTTTCTTCCTTTTGACTGTTTCTTTTTCTATTTCCCAATGATTCGGCGAATTAGTTAAACAAAAAGAGAAAATCACCAAAAAAATCAAATTAAGAATTACGAGCCGGGAGTGGAACATGATCAGAGGTTTAGAGGATCAACTTCCGAGTTTCGCTCCTTCATTGGACTCCACTCTTCTCCCTCTGCAATAAACATAGCCAACTCTTAATAGGACATTACCATTTACCACAAACAAACACAACTCGGTCTCTACTTTTCCACACTTAAAATAGTGTCTTCAAAATTTTGGGTTATATATGCATATATAAGACCAAAAATAAAGAGTATCGATTGAGAATCAAACGTACTTGGCTTTTCGGAGATGACCATGAGTCGCCGTTGTAATATAGAGGCTACAAAGAGGAAGATTGAGCACATACCAAACATGATTGTGATCGGAAATGCGTCCACCTGCAGAACCACAATTATTATTCAAAATCGAATTTTACAGATTAGGTTTTTTTCTCTCTCTTATTTTGTGAAGATTATAAAGACATGACTTTTCTTACGTTGTACAAGACGATGCAGACAAAGATATTGAGCGGAACACGGAAGAAATTCATTATGGTGCTTCGTGCTTCTTCAGGGATATACTGTGATCTCATCTTCATTATCGATGGCCAAAAAATTCCTACACAAGCCTCGAAAACACAGAAACCAAGTAGCTGAATGGAGCAAGTTAACGACAAGCCTTCACCTATCACCTTTGATGGCGTCACCAAGACCTGAGCCACACGTTATTATAAGGTCAGTGTGCATATAAAAAGATTTTATATACAATGTAGCTTCAGAATCTGAGACATACGCTTGTTGTAATAGGAAGAAGAAGAGAAGCAGCAGAGATTAGAAAGACGATTTGCATGTAGTTTTCGACTCTGAGAGACGAGCGAGCCATGAGACGAGCTGCAAGGGAGCTTCCTAACATCGAGGCCAACATGAAGGTTGCAAAGACGAAGCCATGCGGAATTTCTTCGTCGTTCGGGCTGAGAGCTGGTGTCCAGAGGAAAACAAATGTGTACATCGAGGCTTCAAATAGTGACTGAATAGCGCCCAGTAATGCAATCTTTTCATCTGAGAAATCCCCATAGACTGTGTTAGAGATAATGAAGAAACATAGCTTTCAAATTTGATGCGGGATTGGACGAATGGAGACAAGAGTATATTCAGAGGCATCTGAGTCAACAAGTTTAACGTTAACTTTGAACCTGCCTGAAGCAATTGCTATGGCAGCGACTTTGAACTGAGTCATCAAATCTTTGCTGTCAGATGGATCTCCGAAATTCTCAGACCATGTTGTCAATATGATGGCCATTCCAATGGCAAGAAAGCACGCAGCAGCGTCAAAGGGAGCAACAGGACCAAAGGAAAATGTATCAACAAGAAGATTTCCAAACAAACCGGAGAGAATAGCGACCAGACCATTCCCAAGGAAAACAGCTTTAGAGAACGTCAGTGAAAGCCACTGTTGCTCAAAGTTCCTCTGTGCAAAGTTGTTCAGAAAAGCAAAAATTTCACATCAGCCATGGCTAATCCTTTAAGATAATCCTTTACAAGCGTCCCAGTCTTTACTTTTTTTTTATCATTTTTGTATAAAGATTGCAAGTGAGCTTTGATATGTTATAGAAAGCTTTGAAGTCCAGAAATCAAGGTACTACGGAATTTACAGCCATCGAGTATGGACTGAGTTAACTGTGCGACACATCACACTCAACGAGAAACAGACATGACTGGGAGGAAGACTACGTTTCTACTTTCTATTGGACCACTAAGAAGTATTTAGAGGAATTTACGGAGGAACCAACCTAACAAAAAACATTTCCAATACCTAGACTGACTGATATTCACATGATGATAAGAGTAATAAAGCTAAGGCTTACCTTGTTGTGCTCTGCAATGAGCCAAGATTCGAAGGCTGAAAACAAGAGAGATGTAGCAATACCACCCAAGATACGCCCGACCATCAAAACTCTGTACTGTGGAGAGTGCTTGGTGATGCAGCTTAGTATGTAAACTATGCAGTATGTAACACATGCCCTCTTTCGACCCCTGAATCCAAAACACAGGGATATTATTAGCCTATAGACATAGTTCTACTCTGATAACATGGAGTTGAATTCAACGGATAAAATTCCTCACTGTTTGTCAGCCAGAGATCCAACAATGGTTCCAAACAACATCGAGGAGCCAAAACCAGCAATGAACAGCTGACCAATATCTCCTTTCCCGAAACCATAAGTGCTGTAAAGGTAATACACATAAGGACCCTGAAGCCAATCCCCAGCTGTAGCAACATAATCATATACATAAGTGCGTATCAGCATGAAATTGATCCATTTGACATGAATGCATTCTAGAACAATCATACTACCATCAATAATTGCTTCATTATTGGTTATAACAGTATTATCTTCTTTACCTGATCAAAACCCCCAAAAAATGGAACACATAATGTATCAGGTGAGATAATCTTTCGCCATAAATATTCCATCAATCTCAAATAAATCTCTGATCTACGACACATTTGACCAAACCTAGAGATGATGCATAAAACGAACTTGCCAGATTTAGTATGAGCTACAACAAGAAATCCATCAATCGATGACTAACAGAAGAAAACGTATACATAAATTGTATCTGCATCTGGATTCGATCTAGTACAGAAGTGGACGACGCCTAAACCAAAAAAGAAGAACTCGAAGAAATTTACTCTCTCGTGCAACTTCGGATAACGAAAGACCGACACAGAACTACATAGATCAGATCCATAACAGGAAACAACAATCGAAATTGCAGGTGCCGATGAATTTTACAGAGCTGATTCCGGTATCCAATTTCATAAGTAATCACAAAATGAAAGCAAAAATCGTGTGTAAAAACGATTTCGCATCTGAGCAATAATGGTGGAAAGACGTACCCATCATAATAGAGAAAACGACGAGGTAATTGTTCTTGAATGAATTGAAGGAAGAGGAAGTGTTGATCCGATCCTTGTTTGTCTTGCTCAGCTCCAACGCCGCCACTACGGCAGCCATGGCTCCGAACACCAAGTAGTAGAAGACCTCCATTGTTGCTTTTGCTTCTATCTCTCTCTCACTCAGAGTTAGAGAGCTACGGAGAAGAAGAAGAAGCAGAAGAAGAAGGCAATGTCACGGAGTGGAGAAGGTGTGTGCGATTGTACCGAACCAATTTACCGAGTATGGAAATTATCTGGTACAACGCGGTTACGATACACGTAAGCGTGAGTCGGTGAGTATCACTATTCTATTTTACATAAAAATTTGAATAACTAAAATAATGTATCAATTATATTTACTAATTACTTAATTAGAGTATGCTTTGGAATGGGATTCATGTTTTTTGGCGTTATAATCTAAAATCTCAATCTTGACAAAAGAGAAGTCAAAGCTTTTTACCTTTGCGATGATTTAGACTGCTATTTTTAACTATTTATCTCCTAGTAATGGAAAACTAGAAATTTTAAAAAATGTATATAAAAAAAATTCAATACAGAAATTCTTGATCCAGATTTGTTTACAGTATAGTTACTTGGATATAGATTCTATGTATAGAAAACCGATTCAACAAACCAAATAACCAATCTTTGGGTTTTTTCCTTTGTTTTTGGGGGTCAAAAAAACCATTTTTGGTTTATACAGAGAAACTAAGCAATCAAAGAGGCTCTTGCCATTGCCAGGGCACCTTCAAAGGTCCGGTTTGCACCAATGAAACCACTCATGTGCACAAATACACATCCCGGAATTGAGCTTTCCTCAGAGAGCTTCTCCTTTTCTAGGCCCCTCCATGAACTTGGCAAAGCTTTACGGCTCTCAAACCTGTCTGGTGAAACCGAAACCGCCTGGATTCTCCAGTTTTCGCTTCTATCATCCTGCACAAGTCACACTCATTGGCTTAACAGACAGACGTTAAGCTTACAATAGTAAGATCGTTGCATACATACCTGGTAAATAACATATTTTATGGGAGGATCAATCTTCATTTCTTTCTCTAGCTCGAATATATGGAGTTTCCACTGTCAATTGCACAAAACTCTTTAAAACGTTCAAAACTAATTCCCACCAGAATCAACTATAATCCATCTAGAAAATTCGAAAGATGATGTATGGAACCTCTAAAGAGCTAATTTTTTTAACTTACTGGGCATTGCTTGCTGAGCTTCATGATTTCTCCACTGGAGTCTATATCATGTCGTTCTGCAAGACACTCCATAACAATTGACCGAGCTGGTAACCATGATTTCGCGTGAAAATGAATACACTATCAAAAGGCAGAACATAAGGTAGACTCAGGGATTGTTCTGGCTCTCTATTCTCACATCTAACTCAAATAGGAAGGCAAACATATTCTGGTATTAATCAGTTCTTAGAAACAAGTGAAATGAAACCAATACCATTTGTTTATCAGAAGTAAGCAACAGTCGTTATAAGAATATTAGTATGCCATTAGGTTGATTCATTCAAAGCAATTTTGCCAGCACTAGATTTAGTTTGGGTACTAGCAATTTTCCTATTTGCATCTCTTTTCAAAGGAGGTTCAGTACTTTATATAATTAGATAAGATATAGAAGGGGGAAAAAACCTCCAAAAACTCGGAGCCAGCAAGTTCCATTGCCCTATGAAAGGCTTCATCTTCTTTGCTACTAGACTGATCAAGTTCAATCCAGTCTAAGTTCAACCTTCCAATCCTATATGCCAAGCTTGTATTGTTTTCATATCGTGGAGGCTTATCAGTGTCATACTGATGGATGCCGTTGTCTATAGCATCTACTGCCTGTAACCCGTATACAACAAGGAGCTACATTAGAACCATGTAAAAACATGACGGAATATGAATAGTTCAAGAGCTGGTCCACTATATGTAAAATCATAACTGAAATCTCTTTCTCCGTTAATCTCAATTTCAAAAGAAGATTTCAGACAGAGCCATGACTTGGTGGTGACATTCGATACACATGACAAAAAATTTCAGCTAGGAAATAGAATATTTGACCAATCAGAAAACAGATGCAGTAACTATTGTCCACCAAACACTAAAAGCCACAAACTTTAGCTTGTTCAATGCCGTGAATGGATAGTTTACTCAATAGATAACTAAGAAACTAGCAGCGTAAGGAGCAACATTTATAGAGCAAGAAGAACTACCTCAATGAAGTATTTGTACACAGCTAAAAACAGTCGATGCACATCGGGATGTCTCTGATCAAGTTGAAGCTCCTTAGCAATTATCTCCAATCCATAGTGCTAGATGAAGTAATAAGTATCAACACAATCTTCTCAAATTAGCCACCAAAATCACAAGAAAGTATCTTCTCTTACCTTATAGATTAGCCCGGCACTACTGAGTTTAGTATTAAACCCGTAGCCAAACACTTCAGTGAAGCCTTTCTGATGATGGTCATAACGTTCACTCGTAGGATCGTACACACCTCCAACATCAAGAGCCGCATCAAGCTTCTCCAAAACCTTACGATTACATCACAAAATCAAGTAGAAACTAAGACAGAGATAATGTGAAATCGCACACATATATCAATTACTGCGCAAAATCGTAACTACACACAGCACACAAAAAAAACAGAATCGACGAGAAATTCTGAAAAATTCCATGAATTCCACATAAAACTCAAACTAAATCGACACTCCTTGCTAATCTCGAACCATTTCTCAAAATTTCGAAAATCAAATTAAACTCAAAGAAAGAAGATTCGCACAAAGCTACCCTGAATTACATGGTATATAGAACAAATAGTACCTGATGATCTCTGGTCCGGACGATTTGAGCATCGGAGAATCTGCTTGAAAGACGAAGCATGAAGCAAGCTAAGGTTTCGTCGCAATGGAAAGTTCCATTATGCGTCCCAACCCGTTTCTGCTTCCCTAATGAATTTGTAGAGAAATTAGCTCGAAAGTTTGCAGAACGTTTCAGAAACAGAGAATGATTCCAGATTCTGCTGCAGAACAGACCTCTCGACCCAACAAACATGGCTCTAAGAGAAACCAAATGGTTAACCGACGACCAAAATCTAAACCCTTGACGTCGCGGGTTTAAGCTCGACTAAACGTCGCCGTTTAACGGACTTTGGGCTTTTAGGAAACGCTGTCGTTCAAACGTTACATTTCTAACACTTTTTGCCTTTTCGGAGATACTGTATATTTTACTATTTTATTGGGAATTTTTAATAGAGTTGATGATCATTGGTTGACCTACCAATATGGTTGATCACCACACTCACATTCTGGTAATCAAAGCTGATTGTTTCCAAAACTCCGCAACATTTGTTTTACTTGATTCAATGTATCAAATTTATTGTTTTGTTCTAATCGTAGGACCCTTTACATTTAAACGCTAATCTAATTCGTACTAGGCTCAGACTAAATGCTCGATTGAGTTTACATCTAGCAATACATCAAACAGAATATCAGTTTTTGTATATTTTTACACATAATCACCCTCACTTGCTGGATAAGTTTGTTCTTGTTTCTTAAAAAATGATCAAAACTAACATGGCAAAAATAGTAAGTAGTATTAAAGAAATGCAACCCAGTTTACTTTAGAAAGACTTCAAACCAAAGGAATTTGAGAAAATGTGGTCTATAAGCATCACATCATTGCCCTTCAACCAAATTCACCAAACATATTTTCATGATCATTATTTTTTCTTACACTAATCACAAAACCTAGATTTAGACCAGAAGATAAAAAAAAAAACCAGAAAATTAGATGTCAACATCATAATGCATTGAAGGCTAACAACTACGTTTTGGAACAGATTCGATACATTCAATGTAGAGATAAAAGAGTATAAATATTTGAGATTATTACCGAATTAGCTTTCTCTTACGCATATCATCAAACACCTTATGATCAATGGCTTTTGTTCACTTACTCATCTCTCTTCTTGTCTGCATTAACTTCAAATCTTCAATCTCCGTCGTGCCTGACCCAACAACAAAGGAGCTAATCAACAGAATCTGCAAACAAACAATCGATTTCAAATTCTGCAATCAAACAATCACCTCTCAGCTAATCAGACGACGCACCTCGATCAAAACAATCGCGAAATTAACCGCAGCGAAAGCGTGGATCAACGCCATAGAAACGCTGGATAACATCGAAAGCTCTCTTCTTCCGAGAGCGAAAGATCGTAGAAGCAGAGCAGAGTTCGATGCTTGCAGGAAAGCGTATAAATTGGTGGATGCTCATCTCGATAACGCGTTGAAGTATTTGTATCTCCGTGATTATCGATTCATGAGAGCGTATCAAGCTCTTGCGCTCGTGAATATTTCCATGTGCAGGACGAGTTTTTTTCAACCGACGCCGATGGTTTACGCGAATTGGAACATGAGGATCTTGACGGATATGGCGATTTATGCTAGCCGGATTCTCGCTCCGCCTCCTCCTCTTACGAAGAAGAAGAAGAAGAAGACGCCGTGAAACGAAATCATTTTGGAGTCGGAGCTTTATTCTCTTAATTCTTATCATATTTGAATTTAATACAGTATTTGTCAGATTTATTCAAAACGAGTTTTCAAAAATGATTTTTGTGACGTCATATTTTTTTGTATACCCTTTTTTTTTAATCTTGTTTTAGTGTGTAGACATGTTTGTGTATGCTCTTTTGTTAATAGTTCTAGCTCAATTGTAACGTTGGAAGGAAATAGCAAGATCGTGTTTTTCTTGGTGGAAAAAAATTACTTAATCATATATGTTTTTGGGTATAAAACTGCAAAAATTGTGTTTTACTTATTAAATGTAAGTGTTAAAAGTAATTGTCGTAAGTGATGATCGATGTAGTTGTATAATTAAGAATCAGATTCTAGTGAAACACCACAATCGTAACTTACTACTGTGACGGAGGTGGCCAAAGGCACACACAGAAACAAGAAAAAGGAAAACTTTGTTCAGAACCGTAAACGTTAAAAAAAAATATGGCATTATGAAAAAAAAAATCTGACCTTCAAGCAAATTAAGTAAAGCATTTTTTTCCATTAATGTTCCCTAAAATTTAAGAGTTGAAAACCTTTTCTCTCTCTTTTTCTTACATACAATGAAAAATAGCGATGATCAGTAGAATAAAGAACATAAGAGCAAGTGCAATGGGGGTATTTAACCACCGTCTCTACCATTTTTCCCAAATTAAATAAATGAAAAACACAAAAAAGAAATTGAAAGACGTTTCTTAATTTAGAGATGGGAGGGAAAATTGGCTTTTTCATGCTCAAACATTCCAAAAATGTTAAATATATACCTAAAATTATGTGTGGTGCTTTAACATACTTAATCTATGTTAACATTTGAATTTTATCCTTAAACATTGTTTTAGTTTGAATTTTAACTTTAATCTTTTCTTTTTGTGCTAAAAGCAATTTATGTCTCAACTCTGTTAATTATTCTGTCAACTATGGTCTATGTGGCGTCCACGTAAGTGACGACATCGTATTATTCTGTCTTAGTTTTAGAAGAAAACACAGACGACATCGTTTGACTCATCACAAATCGATTTAAAAAAAAAAAAATACGTAGTCGTTTGGTCCTTAAAAATAATAAAAATATATATATATATAACTTGGAAAAATACTTAAACAGTGGGACAACCTTTCATATGCTCGTCTTCTTCGTCAACGTGAAGTAACAGAGCGATCAAGAGTTTAGAAACCCTAAACATCGAGTTCAGTGTTTAGGTGGTGTAAGCTTTTGGTTATCATCACTTACAGGTTGGAAACATGAGGTAAACTTTCAAATAATGATTTTTCTTTCTATTGTTGGATCGATTAGGGTTTAGACGGCTTGCATGATAATGTTTTCTAGTTTGTGGCTTCGATTAGATCGGTTTAGAATTACGCGACGTAGATACGTTATTTGTTCTAAGTCAGTATCTTAGTTGACTTCGACAAGGGCTATATATGATGTTCGATTCTTATTTTGTTCTAACTCTGTTGTTTTAGTGAGAACGAGGGTGTGTTTCAAGTTTATCACAATGGAAAGTTTGAGATCTCGATCGAAAACGGAACAGCATATGTCGGAGGAGAAGTCCACACGCTCATAAGCAACCCGACATCACTTTTTGTTAATCTGATGGAATCATTGAACATTTCTTTGAGTGGACAGAAGATTTGGTACAAACTTCTGTTTTAGGAACTTACGGAACTGAAGGTTCTTAGGGATGGGACTACAAACTTTCGAAGAATGTGTGATGCTGTGTTCTGGACGAAAGCTGTAGATGTTTTTTTGGAACGTAAAGATTTCGTTGAACGAGTTGATGGTGTGGATCAAAACGACAACAATGGTGCTGAAAACAGAGCTGCTTTGCATGATGAAATCCCTGCAGAAAAACAGAGCTGCTTTGCATGATGGTGTGGATCAAAACAACGACAATGGTGCTGAAAACAGAGCTGCTTTGATATGTCTCCGAGGTTCTGATAATAGATCCTGCACCACTGATGGTGATCTTGATGTGTGGTGTCGAGGGTTGTCAAGTTTTACCCTAATTGAAATCAATAGCCGCAAGTGCACAGCTGATCGATTGTAGTACTTAGGGATCGAATCCACAGGGAATGAGGATCTTTTGCTGCAAAAAGCCTTTGAAATAAGTTAAAGTAAGGAAGTCTAGAACAAAAACGGTTTAGTGGGGGTTTGGTAGTGTGTTTAAAATCTAAAAACGAAATTTTAAAAGAAAATACGGAAATTAAATGGCGTAATAACTAAACTTAACGAAAATAACTAAAAATGATAAAAACGGATATTCTAATGCTTAAATGAAAATGAACTAAAAAAGAAAGACAATATTGAATTAAAGCTTAAAGAAAATCGGTGTAAAACAATGGAGAAGAAAGCGTTGGGGTTCAGGGAAGTTTTCTCAGGGGTACGAACGATTCAAAACATTGCTAGAGAGGAAATTTTGTAAGATCTTAGCTTAAACTTTTCGAACTGGAGTCACGGACGTATGAATACGCCACTGTCGTGACCATAGACAACTATCTCTCTCAACCCTGACCAGTATGTTTCCACTCTGGCCCTGGAAGAGAAGAGATGCATTATGTTTAAGATTCGTCCTAATTCACAAATCGCCCATAGGTAGGTTTCCACTCCTATGTTTGTTTTGCTCTCCCAAACTAGATCTGATACCTGATGAACACTTTCGTGTCACCAAGCATCTGGATCAGATTGTAGTTCATGACGCTACTCTCATGCAGTAAAAAAGAATTCAGAAGAAAAAGTTCTAAGATTCAGCTCAAAAGCCAATGGAATCCTCACCGAACATATAAATCCCCATCGAAAATCCCTTAATCCCAACAATAAAACTACTCAGACATAATGAACGAAATCAAAGACATAATATTAAGTAGTAGAATAGAAACCGAAATTGAAAAAGAAAGAACAAGGGTTCAAGAGAACAAATCTCTCTCTCCCTAAAAGCTAAAGCAAAAACACTAAGAATATGAAGTAAATATTTCGGTGGTGATAGGTTACACGATTTCTAGGGCTCCTAAGACATGTATTTATAGTGCTCAAGACCTCTCTGGACGTCACTTAGGGTTTCTCCAAATGTGGGCTTTAGAAATGGGCTTTTTGGGCTCGGAGGTTGAAGGCCGCGGTCGGGACAAGTGTGACCGCAGTGGATGAGTGGTTTGCCGCGGTCGGGATGCTCCTGACCGCGGGAAAATGCTTGTTGGCCGCGGGTGGAAGTGCTGGCCAGCTGGTTTACGGGACATCTTGCTCTTCGCGTATCTTTTGATTGAACCGTTGGATTTCCAAGCTGTAAAGTGCACTGGAAAGCTGATATTTCCATCTTTAAGGTCTCCAAATTTGAGCTGGATCAGACGGTGAGAAAGCCTTCAATCAGGGGTGAACTTCTGACGGTTTGACTCTGAGCTGAAATCTGGTTTTCTATCCATTTTGTTAAGCTTTTCCCTAAGTTTCCTGAAAAGAGTCTTGGAACTACAAATATTAGAAAAACGTGATAAAAGTACTTAAAAGCAATTAAAAACATAGAAAAAGTATTTCAAAACGATCCATAAAAGTGGTTAAAATACGGTGTTATCAACTCCCCCATACTTAAACCTTTGTTTGTCCTCAAACAAAGCAAAAGCCTAAACTGGTTAAGTGAAAACAAAAATAGGAATGCACAAATCTCATAGACATGAACTGCTAAATTAGGACCAAAGATAGTGCATCAATCCACAACTTAGTCTAGAAAATTCTCACCAATGCACAAGAGATACTAGTCCACTTTTTCCGTCATGCAAAACTTAAACAATTTAAATCTTGATTTCAGTCAACTAGCTCTCTACATTCATTAAGTTCAATAGTGAGTTCTCATTAAAGACATCATCCAGGGTAGACGGCGTTTGGCATTAAAGGGCTATTTAAGTGGTGGAGTTAAAGTGTTTCGGGTTACCTGAAGATCTGGAGGATGCTAGATAATATGCAAAACCGCAAGAGAGATAAGGACCTGTTGATGACCACAGTTTTCAGTCACTTCTTCTTGCCAAATGTTGTTGCATAATCCTTCCTCCTTTGTTGTAAACAGCTATTCCCCCAGACTTAGATTCTTTTCGGGAATCAGAAAACAATCTCCAAAACTCCATAAAATCGAACTCCAGTTGCCTTGGGACTTAAAATTCGACCTCTCTAGACTCTCTAAGGCTTTTATCTCCTTTTTTTTCTTATTTTCGGATTTTTTTTGTTTTTTTTTTTTGTTTTTTTTGGAAAGGAAATGCTTTTTAAAGAGAGAGAGACTAGAGGACGAGATTGTACCAAAATTTGAGATTTTTCTAAGGCAAGCTGAGCTTTCTCTTGTGTTGAATCCTTCCGGGAACTTTTCCGGCAAATCGCAGGTCTCTGTCTTTGGTGACTGAAAACTGCGTCGTTCCTCTTTCTCTCCAACGTTTTTGCACTTATCTGCATATAAGACAATAGAAAACAAGGGTGCATGTGGTTTGAAAGAGGATTGGTTAAGGTGGGGAACTAGCTAAAGATGAACTAGCCATTCAGGATCAACAGAGAGTGGTAAAAGGATAAAGGAGTCCTGAATGTATGATTCGTTTCCCTGGTCTAATGCTTCAATGAGAAAATTAAGTCCAAATTAAGTCCAAATAAAACAGAGCTAGTGTATCCCTTCATCTAAATCGAAATCATTCAAATTCCTCTGGGGTACTTCATTTCAAATGTGCTTAGCTACCGCCTAGTCTAGTCCTAAATCATGAATGAGCATATCACTAGGAACAGTCTAAAGCACACAGTCAACTATCATTGATTCATGTTCATCATTCCCTTTTAAACGTATTTTGTTTTGAAAACCGATTTTGAAAAACTTTAAAGAAAATGCAAAAAGTATAGATAATGCAAGACTCATGAAAGAAAAGTGGTTAGAAAGGGATGAAATCCTCCCCCAGA